GAAAATGAAAATCATCATTTTGATGAAAAAAAATTGAATTGAAATGGATGTTCCTCATCGAAATTATGAAGTTAATTATTTTAACATAAAAACAAATTGAATAATTCCCAAAGATTAAAAGAAAATTAATATCTACTCCAGGAATAATAAAAAAAATGTAGTTATAATGGGTCCCATCAATGATTTCTATAGAAATCATCGGTCTTATGAAATGGTTCTCAAACAGACATGCATAATATAGATCTAAAAATTTTTTTCTTTTCAGGAAGGAGTTATCACAAATATTCATTTTTGATAAATATAGATTCTACCACTGCATCGAGTGTGATACGATATTTATCCACTCGAGACAGTTAAATTTTCAAATTTAAAACGCGAGGCTTGCCGAGCGTTTTAAATATTTAAAATTTAACTGTCGAGAGTGGATAAATATTGTATTACACGAGATTCGGTGGTGGCATCTGTTTCTCTAATGATTTTCAAACAATACGCAGGCAAATTTATTCCTTCTTTTCGAATGATCTGCAAAAAGATGTGTTCTTTCTATGTGACGTCATCAGGCATGGTCGCCTTTTTTCATGCCGTCACAATAGGAAATTCAGAGGAAAGCAAGAAAATTCGATGTCATAATCGAATTTTAACCAATGAAGAACTGAGATGAAACGAACCACACGTTGATTAAATTTTTTTTTATACAATTGGTGCAGAAAGGGATAAATTGACGAAGAATTAGAGAAAAAATTATAAAATTCAACACTCAAATTTGAATAAAAAATGTTTTTGGGTTGTTCTAAAAAATGAATAAGGTTTTTGAATCAAGATGGGAACAAATTCTTTGACCTAAACGAAAGCCCCCCCCCTCTTTTTTTAGCCACACAAACCCAAAAGATGAATTGTGGGGTCCAAAAGAGATACAAGACACCTATTTTAGTAAAGCAAATTTGACTGGCAGTTTAGCGAACGGCAAAAATCTAAATGCTGTTTGTCAATACCTTTGACTTATATTCCAAGTGAAAACAATTACTTAAATGTTTAATAAAAATAAATCAAAATTAAACTACATGGGGGATAATTCAGGGTATTCCAACTTAGTTGCACCAAAAGGGTATCTTACTATACCAAATTAATCCTTGATTCTTCAAAGTTAAGTTTAGCCATAATAAAAAGGAGTATATAAAAGCAATAGAATGTCATAAACAGTGCAGAATAAGTCTGTTCACATTTCAGGCGAAATTTATACTGTTGAGATAGTGTCAAGACATATTTAAGACTGTCAAGAATGTGTCGAGACATATTCAGACATTATTTAGAATGTCAAGAATATGTCGAGACATATTCAGACATTATTAAGAATGTCAAGAATATGTCAAGACAGATCGAGACAAATTTAAGACAGTCAAGAATTGGTCGAGACTAATCCAGACTCTTATCAGATGATACAGGAAGTGTCGAGAAATTTTAAGACAATGTTCATACTGTCAAGACACTTGTCAAGAAAAATCAAGAACCTTATTAGACAAATTCATTCAAATGTCAAGAATTTTTAAAAATTATTCAGACAAATTAAGAATGTTGAGTAAAAATTCATGCAAATTCAGACAAAAACTGGTCTTTTCAGACTTTTTGACTTTTGTAGTGAATGGGTCTGACATGAAAAACGTGGATTTTTCTTTGAAGAACGTTTGAATGAAAACAAATATGATATACAGTAACAAATGACCACTGAATTACAGGCTCCTGATTTGGGACAGGCACATACTGAATGTGGTGGGGTTAAACTAGATTGAAGGCACCAATCCTCCCCTAACCTGGGACAGAGGTGTAACAGTACAACATAAGAACAAACTATAATCAAAGCCTTAAAGGCTGTTAAAGTAATTGCTGTCAAGTTTATGTTTTTGTGACTTTTATTTTTCATCCACATGTAATAGAGTTTTAAACCTGAAAGGAGTCTTGTCTAGTGAGAAGTAAGGATGTTTTAACTTTATATCAATAAAAGACTTATCCAGCAGAAAGTCATTTTTACAATGTTTTACATTTCCCAGGGGGATGGCACGTTTACCCTACTATATGTGCGGAAACGTATAACTCCTGGAGAAATCATAATAGATTATCTCCTTGTAGACATGGATTTTTGTATCATCTCTTACTCTTAACTTCACATCTTTCACGTTTGGACAGCTCCATTTCATCTATAAGATGATAAATCTTACTGAATTAAAGAACCTTAGTGAGCACGCTCACATACCCCACGTCCCCATATTGTCATTGGAGAAATAAAATAACTGTAAGAAAAAAAAATTGTATAAGAAAAAAAAATTGAATCATAATTTCCTGTCGATATGCACATCTACCTAGTATGTCCTTATTATCTACAAAGTTTCATGAAATTCTGTTGTGTGGTTTCAGAGGAGTTGCGATGACAAACTGTTGCAGAGGTATATTGAAGCAAATAAGTTCAAAGGGGCGTAACTCCTAGAAAAAAAATTGAATCGTAATTTCCTGTCGAAATGCACATCTACGTAGTATGTCCTTATTACCTGAAAAGGTTTCATGAAATTCTATTGTGTGGTTTGAGAGGAGTTGCGATGACAAAAGGTTGCAGTAGTATATTGGGCAAATAAGTTCAATGGGGCGTAACTCCTGGAAAAAAAATTGAATCGTAATTTCCTGTCGATATGTACATCTACGTAGTATGTCCTTATTATCTACAAAGTTTCATGAAATTTTGTTGTGTGGTTTCAGAGGAGTTGAGATGACAAACTGTTGCAGTAGTACATTAAAGTAAATAAGTTCAAAGGGGCGTAACTCCTAGAAAAAAAATTGAATCATAATTTCCTGTCGATATGCACATCTACGTAGTATGTCCTTATTATCTACAAAGTTTCATGAAATTCCGTTGTGTGGTTTCAGAGGAGTTGCGATGACAAACTGTTGCAGAGGTTTATTGAAGCAAATAAGTCCAAAGGGGCGTAACTCCTAGAAAAAAAATTGAATCGTAATTTCCTGTCGATATGCACATCTACATAGTATGTCCTTATTATCTACAAAGTTTCATGAAATTCTGTTGTGTGGTTTCAGAGGAGTTGCGATGACAAACTGTTGCAGAGGTATATTGAGCAAATAAGTTCAAAAGGGCGTAACTCCTAGAAAAAAAATTGAATCGTAATTTCCTGTCGATATGCACATCTACGTAGTATGTCCTTATTACCTGAAAAGGTTTCATGAAATTCTATTGTGTGGTTTGAGAGGAGTTGCGATGACAAAAGATTGCAGTAGTATATTGGGCAAATAAGTTCAAAGGGACGTAACTCCCGAAAAAAAATTGAATCGTAATTTCCTGTCGATATGCACATCTACGTAGTATGTCCTTATTATCTACAAAGTTTCATGAAATTTTGTAGTGTAGTTTCAGAGGAGTTGAGATGACAAACTGTTGCAGTAGTACATTAAAGTAAATAAGTTCAAAGGGGCGTAACTCCTAGAAAAAAAATTAAATTGTAATTTCCTGTCGATATGCACAACTACATAGTATGTCCTTATTATCTAAAAAGGTTTCGTGAAATTCTGTTGTGTGGTTTGAGAGGAGTTGCGATGACAAGAAACAGGACTGACGGACGGACGGACGGGTCAAAAACATTATACCCTCCGCAACTTGTTGCATGGGGTATAATTATGACATAAAAGGAAAACCAACTTATTCAATGTGTTTCTAACACAGGTTCGTTCCACAAAATTATTTGCAAAAACAACATTTCAAGGTCAGTTATTATGAGTCTATTTTTAGATACATAAACCTAGAGAATTACAGGTAATCATTATCATTTGCCTAGAGGGTCATTATATCATTTGTTTACAGAGTGGAGTCTATCAGTATCAACAGCAAATAAGAAAAACCTTAATAAATAACAGGGCCAGTAATTTCAAGAAAGTATTAAAAACATTGTAAGTGTAATTAGAACGCGTAAACTGTGCTACTTTTAATTTAAAACAAATAATGCGAGATAAGATTACATAACTATATAGTGCGTAGTGATTTTACGATAATTTTATGAATGAATGATAATTTTATGAATGAACAAGAGCAACTTGACCTCTTTCAAAAAGAAACACGAATTAAACAACATAAAACCACATAAGAGATAATCAGTCAAATTTTCAATATTAAATCAACAACTGACATGATTCAATATTTTGTTGAAACATCTCAATACGAAATCGCAGGTATAAAAATGCAATGTTTTATGATACTGTAAATTCAGAAATTATTGCGTGCATTTATTATTGCGATTTTGTCATTTTAGACTTAAATGCGATTTTAATTTTAACGATTTTGAGAAAAATCCTGTTTAGTTCATATAAAATATTTCAAAATGCGAGTTTAAATTATTGCGTTTACAACTCTGTCACATTTGTCGCAATAATAAAAACCTCGCAATAATTTCTGAATTCACAGTAGTCAAATGGTTGTCCCCTTAAATTCAAAAATACATCTACAAGAAGATATGTTGAAACTTCACAAACCCACTTATGTTTTTCAACTGTATAATGTATATCATTAGAAAACATACATAAGATTTTCAGAATAACACGAGGAATCTGCTAAAAAAAACTTTGGCTTGATCTGGGTCACAAAGATGGTTATACGCCATAGCATGAAAGCAATTGCTTTAAAAATCAGTTGAAAAGGGCTAAACTCATCAGACTGATACAAAGCAGAAAGACATATAACAAAGACATTTACTATCTGCAAATAAAAATGTGGTCTTTCAAGATCTTTTCGGCAGATTCTTTGAGTTATTGTCAAAGTGTTATATTTGACGACAATATTTCTAGTTCAAATAAAATTAGGACAAATAAGAAAGATTGATGACTATGAATCTAGTTTGTCCAACAATAATGCTGAAGCAGGATTCCCTGATTTGCATCTAAATTAGATTCAAATCAGTAATGCTTTTCCTTAACATATATAATCTTATTTCTGTATATTTCTTTCAAACCTGGAATGTTTCATCTTTTTTCAGCACAGTTCCATCTCCTAGACTGACAAGCTCGGCTGGTGTTAGGTCAACAACAAATCCATCAGTCTCATTGATAATAGAGTTCAATGCAGCATTTGTTGTTTTCAACTTAATCTTAACTTGGTCCTTGTGATGAAGGTGAAAGTTCACCCATTCTATATTATCTGTTTTACTGTGTAAGGTATGCCATTCCTTGACTACTTCATAATCTTCTGTGCTGTTACTGGAAGATATCACATAACAAGATAATGATGTGGATGGACACTAATATAGATGAATGTATGGCCTTCAACAATGAGCAATCCCACAAAGTATATAACAATGTATAAAATGGCCCTGACAGGAAACTAGAGGCTCTAAAGAGCCTGTGTCGCTCACCTTGGTATATGTGCATATTAAACAAAGGACAAAGATGGATTCATGACAAAATTGTGTTTTGGTGATGGTGATGTGTTTGTAGATCTTACTTTACTGAACATTCTTGCTGCTTACAATTATCTCTATCTATGATGAACTTGGCCCAGTAGTTACAGTGGAAAATATTTTGTAAAAATTTACAAAAATTTACAAAATTTATGAAAAAATTGTAAAAAAATTGACTATAAAGGGCAATAACTCCTTAAGGGGTCAATTGACAATTTTGGTCATGTTGACTTATTTGTAGATCTTACTTTGCTGTACATTATTGCTGTTTACAGTTTATCTCTATCTATAATAATATTAAGATAATAACCAAAAGCTGCAAAATTTTCTTAAAATTACCAATTCAGGGGCAGCAACCCAACAACGTGTTGCCTGATTGGTCTGAAAATTTCAGGGCAGATAGATCTTGACCTGATAATCAGTTTTACCCCATGTCAGATTTACTTTAAATGCTTTGGTTTCAGAGATATAAGCCAAAATCTACATTTTACCCCTATGTTCTATTTTCAGCCATGTCGGCCATCTTGGTTCGTGGGCGGGGTCATCGGACACATTTTTTAAACTATATACCCTAATGATGATTGTGTAAAAGTTTGGTTAAATTTGTCTTAGTAGTTTCAGAGGAGAAGATTTTTGTAAAAGATTACAAAAATTTACGAAAAATGGTTAAAAATTGATTATAAAGGGCAATAACTCCTTAAGGGGTCAACTGACCATTTTGGTCAAGTTGACTTAATTGCAGATCTTACTTTGCTGAACATTATTGCTGTTTACAGTTTATCTCTATCTATAATAATATTCAAGATAATAACCAAAAAAGACAAAATTTCATTAAAATTACCAATTCAGGGGCAGCAACCAAACAACGATTTGCCTGATTGGTCTGAAAATACCCAGACAGATAGATCTTGACCTGATAAACAATTTTACCCCATGTCAGATTTGCTCTAAATGCTTTGGTTTCAGAGATATGAGCCAAAAACTGCATTTTGCCCTATGTACTATTTTTTAGCCATGTCGGCCATCTTGGTTCACGGGTTGGGTCATCGGACACATTTTTTAAACTATATACCCTAATGATGATTGTGGACAAGTTTGGTTAAATTTGTCTTAGTAGTTTCAGAGGAGAAGATTTTTGTAAAAGATTACAAAAATTTACGAAAAATGGTTAAAAATTTATTATAAAGGGCAATAACTCCTTAAGGGGTCATCTGACCATTTTGGTCAAGTTGACTTAATTGTAGATCTTATTCTGCTGAACATTATTGCTGTTTACAGTTTATCTCTATCTATAATAATATTCAAGATAATAACCAAAAACGGCAAAATTTCCTTAAAATTACCAATTCAGGGGCAGCAACCCAACAACGGGTTGTCAGATTCATCTGAAAATTTCAGGCCAGATAGATCTTGACCTGATAAACAATTTTACCCCAGTCAGATTTGCTCTAAATGCTTTGGTTTCAGAGATATAAGCCAAAATCTACATTTTACCCCTATGTTCTATTTTTAGCCATGGTGGCCATCTTGGTTGGTTGACCGGATCACCGGACACATTTTTTAAACTAGATACCCCAATGATGATTGTGACCAAGTTTGGTTAAATTTGACCCAGTAGTTTCAGAGGAGAAGATTTTTGTAAAAGTTTACGGACGACGGACGCAAAGTGATGAGAAATGCTCACTTGACCTTTCAGGTCAGGTGAGCTAAAAATGTGAAACAATTCAAAAGTTCAAATGTTCGTCTTCAAACTGACCATTTAATCTTTATAGTGGTTTCTGGTTAAATATAGTAACAAGAGTGCACACCCTGAAATGTCTCGCCTTCTTTACTTACCATTGATTTTATGTTGATAGTCCTAAATATAAAGGTTTACTACAACAATCACATAAATAATTCCATACACCAAATATGCTTTAGATGTAGTTGACCTACTGCACATTCTATCTAAGAAACAAACTTAACCAGGAAAACATAACATTGATCAATGAACCATGAAAATGAGGTCAAGGTCAGATGAACCCTGCCAGACAGACATATATACCTTACAATCATTACATGCTTTAAATATAGCTGACCTATTGCAGATACTATCTATGAAATAAACTTAACCAGAAAAACTTAAGATTGACCAATGAACCATGAAAATGAGGTCAAGGTCATATGATAAGTGCCAGACAGACATATACACCTTACAATCATTCCATACACCAAATATAGTTGACCTATTGCTTATAGTATTAGAAAAACAGACCAAAAAAACAAAAACTTAACATTGAGCAATGAACTGTAAAAATGAAGTCAAGGTCAAATAATACATGCCATACTGACATGTACATCGTAAAATATTTTCATACCATACATCGTATCAAAGCTGCGGGATCTTCGGTTAATGCTATGGCACCACTATCGCCATTCACAATTGCATTATTCTATTCAAGTGCCTGATCAATTGCAATATTAGAAAACAACTTGCTGGACTTACGTACAGTGAAATTACCATTTTCAAATTCCATTGCAACCTGTGGGTGATGTTCATGAAGGGAAGCCATATCTCGGAGATGGATCGATAACCATCGAGCATAATTAACACGATCAAGACCAAACACATACGGTATCATGCTTAATATGGACTGTTTGTAAAGTTTGAAATCTGACTCACGAAATGAGCATACTACTGAAAGCACAAGAAGTTCTAAATTAATAATTGAACACCAGAAACTAAACTGTGGTCGAGATGACTCTCTTTCCTTACACCAGTCTATCAAATCATCAAACGTCACAGAGTCATCAGCTATATTTTCTGCGTTTATGCTTTCATAAGCCGACATTAACAATTCAAACAAAACACATGCAGTTATCGGATGCGCGTGTCTAGCCCTAGGTACATTTGAATCTGCTGTTCCAGGTGTTGCAATATCGACTTCAGTGAGGGCACTTGTCCATCCACTATCACGCAAAAAGTCACCCAGAATTTAAAAACCAGCCATTTCGATGTGCAATCCACCAAACATGACGATAAACTTATCTTTTCCGTACAAATCTGGCCATTCCCACTGAATTTTCTTTGCCAAAACAAAAAGGTGTTGATCTGCAATTATAATTGGTGTTTGTCCGGGATTAAGAAAGTTAACCACCTCTTTAACCTTATCCATCGAATGCTTGATCATTGCAACTGAATAGTGGCATCAAAGTCATGGTCATTGCTTCCCAGAGTGAAGAAAGGGGAGCCTCTATGTCACATAAAAATCAATTGTAAAATTGTTAAATTTAATTCGGCAACTTGGATGGTATTTTGCCTCATTCATTGTTAAAGTGCTTTCAATTCCGGAACTGTTGTTTTACCTTCTAACGTCTAGTGGTATAGGTAAGCTATTCATTTCGTGAAACTTAGGAATGTTTGTAGCCAACATTTTATAACCATCGGCGTTGATTTTAACGTTTCAAATGTGTCGTCATGACACAAACAACACTTTGACCAGTCAGTTTCCCAACTATCTGTTGAGACTGATGACAGACAAAGGGGCAAACCATAAAGAATTTGGGAGACTTTAAAATGAAAGCTGACAATGGACCCCATGCCGTTTTTATAATCAGCAGCGATTTACACCAGTATGCTCTGGTAGTGCGAGCAAATCGCTCTTTATACCTATAAATAGTTTGCGCATGCGCAAAATTGTTAAACGCATGTGTATCATAACCTTGAAAATGTTATAAAACCAATTCACAATATCATTGAAAATCCCAAAACACTAAGTATATAGTGAATAGATTAAAGGTTTTTGTTTGAATTTTGTAACCTTTTCGCGCATGCGCAAACCCTAAACATGTCAAATATTTATTTCTAGTATATAAGTCACATGTAAGGAAGGTAGCCACCAAACCTGATAATTTTTTTTCTAAAAGGAGGTCAAAGTAAAAGAGTTTTCGAGAAAAATCAGTTTTTTTCGAACTGGAAAAACAGCCATTTTAGAAAAAGGCCGTGGCCATCTTGAAAAAATGATTTTTTTTATGGCCAGCAGTTTTTTCTTAAAAAGTATATAATAATGATGCTTCATGCTAATTTTCATGCTTGTATCATGATTTGCACAATTCTCTCGATTTTGATTGCTAATATCTTCCACTATTTGCAATAATTTTGTTTTAGAGCAACAAAAAACAATTACATATTAATCTATAAATATAAAATATATGTTTTTGGATTATAAAGGACTTGTGTTTTTATTGTAGAATGTTTGGAAATACTGACCTTGAAATTTCTACCTTCACTTCATATTGTTGTATTCCAGATTCTGGGTCATGGAAACCCTTCCACTGAGTACCAACTTTAGCTGTACTGGGTGAAAACTTGAGATCTGTAAACCCTGTCTGAACCCCATCAATAACTTCTCCTGATTCTGGCTTGGTCAAATCCACAGTTACTGAAAACAAGTTGAGATTCATAGCAAATATACCAACCATCATGCACATATATTAATGTACAGCAAATAATTGGCTGCCAAATCAGCGAGAGTAAACATTGAATATTAAAGCAGTGTGTGAGAATTTCATCAGAATTTTTGAAAGCATGCTTGAATTAATGAGAGGCATATAAAAAGTTATTTATTTCTTCAAATTCATATAGAATTTTTTTTTAATCCAAAACACTTGCCTCTCAACTGGAATGCATCTTTTACTTTGTATATTTTTATAATACTTATGTTTTTATAATACTATCTTCACAATTTAGTATGTTTACTATCACTGCTTTGAAGGTGCTTACCAGCTTTTTGGAAATTAATTGTTAACATGTGCCAAAAAATACCTTTTAATTCTTCATTATTTAACATGTTCCTTAAATGAGCTATATTTTCTGCTGTCTATAGTTGACCTTTTTGTCTTATTGATCATTTTTGCTTTTTAAAGATTTTCTTTATCGTCATAGTTTTCACCATAAATAGGTGTACATCATCATTAAAGTAGCTATATATAGTTAACTGACAGTTTTGGCCATGTTGACTTATTTGTAAAATTGTCCTGCTGATCATTTTTGCTAAAAAACTTTTTTTTCTAACTATTATAGTTTCAAAAATTAAAGGCAATAAAGCAAAAAATTGGTATAATTTGTCATTAAATGGCAATAACTTCTATAAGAAGTCAACATTTCCAACATGCTGACTTATAAGCAGATTTTGTCTTGTGGATTATTTTTGCTATTAAAAGTTCGGTTTTCCAGGTAACAGGCAAAACTGCAACAAAATTAGTAAGAATTGTCATTAAAGGGCAATAACTTCTTTAAGGAGCTAACTGACGTTATTGACCTAATTGTAGATCTTTTCTTGCAGATCAATTTTGCTATTTAAAGTTTCTCTCAATCTATGTTAGTTTTCAAGATAATAAGAAAATAATTAAAAATAAATGGAGAATAAGTCCATGGGATAAAGATGATGACCTCAATTGCAAATAACTTGATAAAGGGACACAACTCTAGAACGGCAAAAGTGACGCCACCCAAATTCAAACTTGATCTGTGTTTTGTATTAATAAGCATTGTGTTAAAGTTATATAAGATTTGGTTGTGATGAACTAAAGTTAGAGAACAGAAAACAATTTCGGGACGTATGTACATACGTACGTATGGACAAGGGTAACACTTAATGCCCCTTCCCCTGTGGCAGGGGCATAAAAATTGTTAAAATTTATCATTTAATGGCAATAACTCCTTTAGTTAGATGGCTGACGGTTTTGATGTAAGTGGACAGTAGGTAGAACTCAACTTTCTGAACAAATTGATTTTCTCTATCTACAGTGGTTTTTAAGATAATAAACTTGGATTTTACCCCTATAACATATTTTCAGCCATGTTGGTTCGCAGGTAGGATCAAAGCACACATTTTTAAACTAAATACCTCAATGATGATTGTGATCAAGCTCAGTTCTAATTGGTTAAGTAATTTCAGAGGAGAAGATTTTTGTAAAAAGTAATGGACCACTGACGATGACCAACACCAAGTGATGAAAATAGCTCACTAGAACCTTTGTGTTAGGTGAGCTAACAATAAATACATACCCCCATCAGATATAGCAGCAACTTTCTGTTGAGTTATTCCTCCATTATAAGCCCACACAATGGAATAATATGTCTTGCCATGTTCTAAGTCTTTGTTGACAGACACACAGGTTGTATGGGTTTGTCTACTAATTTCTGTTGTATTAGCAATATCAGTGTTATTGATATTTCTCTCTGAACTAACTCCCACCATATACATTGATATCCCTGATTCTTGGTCATAGAAATGTCTCCAATTGGAGCATAGCTACAAAAGAAAAGGAATATTGTGCAAAATTTAAAGTAACATAAGCGATATATTTCAAATACAAATTGTACTTTCAATTTTAGCACCATTATATATACTGTAAATTCAGAAATTATTGCGATGTTTTTATTATTGCGAAAAATGCGACAGGGTTATAAACGCAATAATTTAAACTCGCATTTTGAAATTTTGTATATGAATTAAACAGGATTTTTCTCAATATCGCAAAAATTAAAATCGCATTTTAGTCTAAAATGACAAAATCGCAATTATAAATGCACGCAATAATTTCTGAATTTACAGTATATATATGTTTGAACGTTGTTTTCAATTTAGACTTGTATATATATATATATATATAAAACATCTGAATAATAGTCAACGATCTTTCCCACGAGGGCACTGGATCGTTACAAGTAACGATACATGTACACAATATATATATATATATATATATTTTACAGTGATAAAAAATACTGAAAATTCATTAATTTCCTTTCAAAGGTGTCATTATCTTCCAGTAAAGTCTTACAACAATTCTATTAACCTGATATGCTACATTTACTACCTGTAAAACTGAACAAAGCACAAAAGCTGGCAATAGTAAGCCTATTACTCATAGCAACTGAGATACTGAACTAAACATGAAAACTAATTCAACATTGCTCATTTAATTGGTTGATTCATGTCTGTCATATTTGTTGAGGGGCCTCAGTAGCAAAGTGGTCTAAGTAGTCGAAATACTGTATCACTAGCCTGTCATCACTGAGGTTGTGAGTTCAAACCCCGCATTCCTCATGTGCGCTTGACTCCAATTTTAATTGACTAGGATTGTCAGTTTTCCTATCAAAGGTTGGTGGTTCTCTCTGGGGCACTCTGGCTTCCTCCATAAATAAAAACTGACCACCATGAAATAGAACAATAGTGCTGAAAGTAGCGGTAAACACCAATCAATCAATCAGTCTGTCATATTTATTTTTTTCTTGAATTGAATTGTTATAAATTAGGCTGTTAGTTTTCTCGTCTGAATTGTTTCTTATTTTTCTTGTTGGGATCAGTTATAGTTCACCATTCAGCCTTCAACAATTGAGAAAATCCATAAGGCATAGGCTGAATGGTGTGCTATACACTACAAACCAGTAAAAGTCACATATATAATTGCTTACTTCCACATCATTTGAACTATTTTGGACAGTTTTTTCATTGGTAATCATACCACATCTCCTTATCGTTACATTGATACAAACTTAAAAAAGACCTGATAAAGAATAAAGGATATCCTGGCATCACGAAAAGTATGGGATCCCCCTCCCCAAATAATGGTTCCCCATTTCTGATTTTTCTAATTTTCAAACATTAGAGGTTTTGACTTTCATTAGTGCTTCTTCTTAAAGTCACCTAATCACAATCTATAACAATTGTTGACACTACTGTCATGGCTAGAAACTGTATATCTAAGTCTTGCCTTTGAGTTTGATGAAGTGAGACAAAACAGGACCAAACCTGTATATATATTACCTCTGCCCAAACATTGTATTAATATTTCAAATATTTAATCAAACATTATTTTATTAGTATTATCACCCTTTCACCTTATAAAAGTTTTTTCAGAACTATTTGTAATAAAAGAGCATAGCTCTTGAACTGCAAATGTTTTATCTGCTTGAAATATATTCATTTTTTTATATAATTTATTGGTAAAAAAAAAAAAAATCAAAAATGAGATGTAAAAATATTTTTTGTTTTAAATGATATATACTGAGTAAAAATTAGCAACAAATATTTTTAATCTCATAATTAAAAAATAATCATTACTTCTAAATATAATAATAAATTAATTATTGTAACAAAGAAAATAAACCATAAGGTGCCATTTTCCTTCAAACAAAAAATGATTAAACATTATTTCTAATTAAAATATATGTTGCTAAACATTTTTGAACTTAGTATATATAGTATTAGCAAAATGGTCTGGTTCATGAAATATTCATAATCTTGTCTTGCACAAATGTTATGTCTCACTGAATGATAGTTCTTGGTGTAACTTAGATCATCTCCTTGTACTGGACCATCTAAAACTTGTCCTGATATGGGTGCTGTTTTATCAATAATGATTGCTTGATCTGCTACTGCTACTGTCCTAAGATCAACTGAAAAATGTTTAAGCATTTTAACAATTGTGCTAAATACAATTTAATCTTTTAAAAACCATTGATCTATGATAATAGTAAGTCTGTGTAGGTGAAAAAATAGTCTTATACAGGTCTTCCAAAAAATATTTGAGCCAGCCGGACATTTTTTTGTCTTATTCGGATTTTAATCCCTTAAGACTTAGTAACAAAGGCAATCATGGAATCAGTTGGGCATCAATGATTGACATAAAAACGATAATTAACTTAACTTTTAACATAAATTCTATGTTCTGACTTAAACTGTTAAATTGACAGTGTATCATTCGAAGTGTGCAACATCAGCTTACTAATATCTGCCTTAGACTCTTTATTTGTGCAAAATGATGCTGTCAAAAATTTGACTTTCGTTTTAAAAAAGCACATTTTCCTAATACCACATGCTGACTTAACAAAGGTAAAATACAGACCAGAGACTGATATGCAAAATCAGTGTAATTTTACAAAGCAAGATTGAGTTAATTAGCTCTTTCCACTTTATTTCTTCAAGAAAATACTGGATATACGTTAGATAAAGGTACCAATGATAATTTAAAATTTTTGAAGAATTTGATGCAGAAATTTAAGAAAATAACTTAATATAGACCAACTAATTAACCTTGATTGTAATTAGAGGGTATTAAAGAAGGGTTTGTTTAAGAAATAATTCATGCAAGCCATAGATTTGTTGGAAATTTTCTCATGGCCTGGGCCGTTATATTCAAATTTTATCTCAAGCATTAGGGAGGGATAAATTTAACGAATATGTACAAATATATATATATATACTATTCCCCTACCACTAAATACAGGTTTGGATTTCTATTTTGGAGAACCACAGTTTTTATTACACAGCATTTATCTTTTGTATTCATGCATTACTTACATTTTGTATTTGCCTTAATTCATTTAGCTATGTTCAATTATTGTATAATTGAAATAATTACATGCATACTTAATAAACTGTGGTTAGTCTTCCCAAACCTGTCTTTGTTTGAAATATAACCAACACTGCCTTATGTTCTATTTGGCGGCTGAATCCTTCGGGTGTATCCAAACTTGATTTGGGACGTTATATAAGTCATACCATATCAAGCGTTGGCAGGGAGGCTGAAAAGAGGCAGTGTTTAGCACCATTGGCAAAGGGGGGAAGGGTGGGTCCCTATTTTCATAACATAAGATTAATGTGGATATTTTATTTAAATATATTATTAATCATGGTTGAAATTGCAGGGCAGTGATTGCATTGCAATAACATCGTATTTGGTAGCTATGTACATTGTTTATATCTCCTGCGCCTCTATATCAGAACGTTGTTCAAATTGACCAATCAGGATGGAGCATAGGTACCGTTGATATGTCTGGCATTTCATGTCAACCAATCAAGAACTAGTATTCATATTTCCCGGGTTATTAATTGGCCAATCAGATTTAAGTAAATTATCATCGTCTGGCATCATCTGCAGTTTAAGCATTCAAAATAATAACTTGCAGCAGCAAACACCTTGTTTAAACTAAGGCTAAAGATTTTTACTCCCACCCTCCCGACCCTCATTCACGTATATATGTAATGAAAATCAGTTCATGAACTGTCTTTAAGTTTGCATCTTGTCATGTTGGTTTTTTTTTGTACTGTTTATTATATATATTGTATTCATTGTATTTTCATGTGTAGTTTAGTCTTGATGTTTGAGAACCACAGTTTTTATTACACAGCATTTATCTTTTGTATTCATGCATTACTTACATTTTGTATTTGCCTTAATTCATTTAGCTATGTTCAATTATTGTATAATTGAAATAATTACATGCATACTTAATAAACTGTGGTTAGTCTTCCCTTTTCAGATCTCCATGGTACATACCCAAGAGACTTTAATGTTAAATCTCAGTGCTCTAGATGTTTTACTATTATGTAATGGGATGTTTTAAATCTGGGCTAATTAAACTAGATTAACTAAATTTGGAACAAAGGGACTAATACTTTTAGTTGTGGATTCAACTTCATCTGTAGTAAATGCATAATGTTCAGCAACTAGTCATATTAATCAGAGTTCATGTTCCCATGTTTTAAACAGGATACATTATCATATTCAACCATAAAAACATTATATACTAGAGCCTCCTCATTTCAACATGCACCTCTGGATAGACGGATTTCAAAAACCAGACCCAGTGCAGCACAACTTTCAATGAAGTGCCCATGCAGCTCAGATGTAATGTGGTCCTAAATCAGCAGTTGATGATCTTTGGAACAGTAACATGCTAATACTACAGGAACTGTTTATGAGACTGGGTTCAGAAGTTTGAGACCTTTATGTTATTGAATGGATTATAATTACTAGTTTACCTGCTGTTTCTGAGGATTTTATAATATTGCTTTAAATTCTGAGTTTACTATACTCTACCATTAATTTGTATTTATGTAGAATAAGGTAAAGGTATCTGCAAGGTAATACAAATTATCCTTTGCTGTCAGAAAGTAATACACCATAATAAGCCTTGAACATGTTTTAAATTCTGTAAATATGCTACAAAAACCAAGATATATCAGATTACCATAATTTTGATTTTAGAGAAAATGGTAATAGTCTGCAAATTTTTTTTTTTTTTAAGTTTACTGATTTGATGTTTAAGGAACTGCATGCTTTGTAGCTTTTATGGATATTTTTTTTATAGATGTGGCAAGTTTACATTTTCAAGGCCTCATATACATTTGATCCAGCTGTAAATCTATGCATTATAGATGCTGCATTTTACTCCAACTTAGTAGTTTTTAGATTAAAAAAATATCAAAAACTGTTCTGTTTAGACAGGGCATAAGCATTCAGCTACATAAATTATGGCTTAATTAAATTAATACTTATCTGCCCATACAAGATTTTATTAGAATTTATACAGTAATGTAGGAATATACTCCTATCCATCCAAATGACCCACTTTTCTTAACCATTGATAAGAAATTTTAGAAAGACATTATTTACTTATATGTTACTCAGATGATAGCTTTAGAATAGGGACAGCTTCTAGAACTGGAAAGACAAATAGAAGATCAAGCTGGTCTTCAGATATTTACAGTAGATGTATTTAGTAACACCAGTATCTATAAAATCTTTTCAAAGTAGGTTAGGTAGCTTTAAGAAAATGTTATTTCTCAAGTTCTTCATATATGTAAAAATAAGAAGAAATATGCATGAATGTTTTCAAATTAGTTTCAGTATTGTTCTGTGACTAAAGTTTATTTTTTATGTGTTATAATGAACTTATCATTATGTGATTATTCTTAGCTTTTCTTTTATGTTTTGTGTGTATTTTATATATTTTTTTTTTCTTTTTTCTCATGGCTTTATTGAAGGTATCCCCTCCCTTACATCACAAATCCTTGGGGACACTCAGCTGTTACCATCTGTGTTATGGACATTTATGAAATTTTATCACTGGTTGTTTCAAAAATTTCACTCATCCCCCAAGAATTTCTGGGGATAAACTGTCAAATTTCATACAAATTCATTCCAACACCAATTCAACATCAACACTACTTGGCTTCCTCATAGCCACATACTAGGCTTCCTCATAGCATCATTATAGGCTTCCTCATAGCCTCATAGGCTTCCTCAGACATAGCCTCATAGGCTTTCTGATAGCCTCATAGGCTTCCTGATAGCCTCATATGCTTCCTGATAGCCTCACGCATTTATTTGGAACCATAGATCCAATTGGATTGGTGTGATGTCAAGCCAGGGGTCTTTACTTTGCTACTTTTCAGTACGCACATAGGCTCTTGGCTTAGGCATGGAGCAAAAATTTTAATTTTAGCTGAGTAGATTCCCCAAGGGCCAAAATTAAGTGATGAATATAAAATAATAAAAGTTATAGTTCATTTATGATTTATGTTTCATTCAAACCTGGATACAACTGGCACTGCTACGCAATACATGTATTTTCACAGAAGTTTATTTATAATGGGATAGAGCAGGATTTTGAATTATGTTGAGTACTAAATGCTTAATTTTACATATCATGAGTTCAAATGGAGAGTTCTGAAGCAAATCAGGATAATTAAAATGTTGCTTAAATTTAATGTCTTAAGAACTCATTATGTGTGACTTTGAGGATTTTGTTCATTGGGCACACATTTCGGCAAGTTAGACTTATACTCGGACAGGTTTTTAATGTCAGGTCAAAAGATTTTTGCAAGGAGGTAACTGTTTTTCTGGATGTTTACTGAGGCGTTATATACTTTTCATTATTACAAAACACACATCCACTGACCAAAGGAGAAATATGTACAATATAAACAATAGACACTTTAATATTAAGTACAACATTACAACAAATTATGAATGGACCTTTAGAATATCTACAATCCAGAATTGGTACTCTAGTCAAACATGGAACAAATTACAGTTAAAAATAATCAGGACCATTTCTGAGGACTTTGTATAAATTCTGACTTAAACTGTTAAATTGACAGTGTATCATTCGAAGTGTGCAACATCAGCTTACTAATATCTGCCTTAGACTCTTTATTTGTGCAAAATGATGCTGTCAAAAATTTGACTTTCATTTTAAAAAAGCACATTTTCCTAATACCACATGCTGACTGAACAAAGGTAAAATACAGACCAGAGACTGATATGCAAAATCAGTGTAATTTTACAAAGCAAGATTGAGTTAATTAGCTCTTTCCACTTTATTTCTTCAAGAAAATACTGGATATACGTTAGATAAAGGTACCAATGATAATTTAAAATTTTTGAAGAATTTGGATGCAGAAATTTAAGAAAATAACTTAATATAGACCAACTAATTAACCTTGATTGTAATTAGAGGGTATTAAAGAAGGGTTTGTTTAAGAAATAATTCATGCAAGCCATAGATTTGTTGAAAATTTTCTCATGGCCTGGGCCGTTATATTCAAATTTTATCTCAAGCATTAGGGAGGGATAAATTTAACGAATATAATAGCCTAGGCGATGTGAATATAACAAATCTATGACTTGCATGAATTATTTCGATTCTAATAGGCCAAATTTGGTAATTTGAATAAATTGCTTTGCCGAGTGCAGCTGGATACGACCACAGAGGTTAAACCCTGAACAGTTGGGGCAAAAATGGACACAATATTTGTGCTTGATACAGGTCTGAATTTGGATTGAAATTAAATTTTTGACACAATAGGTTTCTGACACAGAATAACTGTAGTCAAAGAACTTAGAATTGGATATATGATTTGAATTTATATTCAATTTTTTGCTTTTGTGCAATACACTATGCTGTTGCAAATGGACCCCCCCTCAAAAAAAAAAATTTCACCCCCTTTTTTTTTTGGCAGACATTTTTTTTTCACCCCACCCCTTTTTTTTGGCAAAAAAAAAAAAAAATATTTGAAGAAATTTTCTTTTTAATTTCTGAAATCTGTAATGAGAAACAAAATTGTCCCCCCCCCCCAATTTTTTTTCACCTCCCCTCCCCCTCCCCTTTTTCCAAAAAAAAAAATCTTTCCTTCAAGATATGGTCATTATCTCAATTAAAATTTCCAATGGAGTTTGCAACCATAATTACACATTTAAATACATCATAAAAGTCTTAAAATAGAAAATGACATACATAATCATTTCTAAAAATAATATATCTTTAATCAGCATTTTTATTAGTAACTTCTAAAAATAAATTGACAGCTAATCACCTCAAGACAATACAAAATTTCTTTATACATAATTTTAAAGCAGTGCAAGGGAGGTAATCCAAATTTAACATTGTACTTAAAAGTAATTGTCCATTAACAAGGAAACCCTTGTTTTTTTTCCCTTTTTTGCCCCTAATTCCTAAACAGTTTGAGCCATTACCCCCCAAAGCCAAACCTAACCACCCCTTTGTGGTATGGAAACTTGTTGTACAATTTCAGAGAGATCCATAACTGTTCCACAAGTTATTGTCTGAAAACTAGGAAAATGCTTATTTGGGCCCCTTTTTTAGCCCCCAATTCCTAAACTGTAAGGACCATAACCCCCAAAATCAATCCCAACCTTCCTTTTGTGGTTATAAACCTTGTGTTTAAATTTCATAGATTTCTATTTACTAATACTAAAGTTATTGTCCGGAAACCAAGTGTCTTTGGACGACGACGATGACGACAAGGTGATACCAATATACGACCACAAAAATTTGTTGCGGTCGTATAAAAACTGAAGCGAGGTAAGATTGCTGTGTGTATGGCTGTTCTATTTTACCCTGTAATATAAAAGCTACAAATTTCAAATAAATCTAAGGCTTGCATGAATTATTTCTTAAATAAAAACTAGAAAAAATGTGTTCAATCCTTATAATTCTTAACCCAAACACTCTTTTTCGTTGGCTACTATTTACTGTCAAATCCAGAGTTGACATGTCGTAACTAAGGAGTGAGCCGCCATGTTGACTTGCTGAAATCCCTGAATGTGCGAATGATGCAATAGAATAGAAAATGAAACAACACCTACCTCAAAACTCCATTTTAATGTCATATTGTCCGAATTTAGAGCGTACACGCCACAGAATAATCTTCAGTTTGAAAGTTTTCATTCGTATGACGTCATGTTTTGACATGACATTAATGCACCAAGATCATTCATGAAATTTCGCGGAATTTTATTTTATTTTGATTTTAAACATTTTTTAAGATCTTATGCATTAATTCTTTTTGTTATGCATTAGATAGGAATGATGGTTCTGTAGTTTCTTTTTCAATTTCAATTTCCACATAGTGTTTGCACATAGGTTACGATACATGTGGATTTACATGGGAGATAAATATGAGTCTCTGATAAGTATAGATATGTCAAGAATTTTCACGCTGTTGTTTTCAAAGCGAAAGAAGCAGGCCATATTAGAATTTGAAAGTACTTATTCATCAAGTCACTTTAATGACTAGAAATGTGTGGCTGTTTAAGGCAAAAGGTCAGGTCAAAAAGATTGCATCAACTTCAATTTTTCCTGAATTATTTTAAAATGGCAAACCCACATTATATGTCCATTTCAGGCTTTGCACAACAAGTCAAAAATATCATTTAACAGTCCAGACAATAAGCAATGAGAGTATTTTCAATTTCTCATTTAAAACAATCTCATTATTGTGAACAAATTTATATGTTGTACCTCCATTGACACACTTGATTTTGACCCATACAGGGACACCATCTGTAAGTTGCACTGCAAACTGAATATCTGGACTATAGTCCATTCTTTTCCAGTCCATTTCATTACAGTCTCTAGCTGAATGGCCTAAACATAAATCATTGTATACCAAACCTGAATGTGGGTCACTGAAATTAGAAAAAAAGTTTTAAATTAAGCATGCAGTCCATTTTACAACTGACTAAATAATCATACAGGAAAGATAAATTACAAAGAAGAAATTACTGTGAATGAAATTTATTTACTAATCAGATAGATAAAAATACCTTAAAATTATCTTGAATAGAAAAATTAAAATCTGAATGAAGACCATGTTTGCAAACTGAGCAGATCAAAATCTTGAACAGGAACAGATACTAAAGTATCATTCCAAATGTCATCAGTATCGAAATCATTCAATTTTGAAGCAAAATCAGCTGTTTTACCAACTGAAATTTAGATTTTACCATCCTTCTTGGAAAAACAATTTTCAAATAATTTTTTAGGTTCAATGTGTTGAAAATACAGACACAACTGACCATCTTCTATGGTTTATTCTAAAGGTCTGGTTAAACATGCAATTTCACTATATTCAGGAACTTCATCATTCCTTGATTGGATTGATTGATTGTTGGTTGCTTAACGTTCAGTGAAGTCTATAGGAAAGTTTCAATGATCACTAGTGAAACAAAAAACTTTTAAACACAAGCAATTTTTGTCACTTTTGAAAATGAGTACTGGAATATTTTTATGCTTAAAACTTAAGGTTAACAATCTTGTTCTTAGCTAAGAAAAGCTTCTGTTTATCAGTAGCATGTAGCCTCTGCCTCTGACAAAGATCAATCAATGACCCAAAGTAGTCAGGCATCAGTCAACATTAGGTGGTACTAAAATATTGTAATATTAGATCAACTACTATATAATATCTCAGACAAAGTCAAATTATCAAATGCTCTGACAGAAAATTCAACATACCTGGATACATGAGAAACTTTAAGTAAGGGTAGATCTTCATCATATTCTATTCCATATACATCGTAAATCTCTGGTTTAGAGTTATCTACTGTCAGTGGTGTAGAATGACACACTGTTGTTACCAATGTTCCTCCATATTTTACATCATTTAATGCTCTAACAGTGACAAAGTACTGACCATCTAGAGAAAATAACCTTCAATTATTCTAGTCCAGAGTTTTTTTGTAACTCTGGAAAAGTAATAAAGCAAAACATAAACTGTTAACACAGAGATATGTCTCACCTTTTTGTACTTTTGATAATGGCAAAACAATTTCAAAGGGAAAGAGATGTGCCAATGCTAATACAACTGCATACCAAATACCATAGACTTATCATAAGTCGTTCATTTCAACAAACCTAAACACAAACATTGACTTGTAAACTATGTAAAAGTTTCAAAGTCAATGAACCATGATGAGGGGGTGGGGCTATATAATCTCCATGGAGACGAGACTTGCAAATGCCAATAAATTTGCATACCAAATATCACTGACTTAACATTAGCGGTTCATCTTAAACTGATCTAATCACTAACTTAATACATGTAAACTAAGCAAAAGTTTAAAAGTCAATAGACCATGACTGAGGGGGCGGGAACAAATATTCTCCATAGAAATGAGATGTGCTAATGCTTATACAATTGCATACCAATTAACATTGGCTTACCACTAATGGTTCCCCTTGAACTGACCTAATCACAAACTAATACATGTAAACTAAGCAAAAGTTTGAAAGTCAATAGACCATGACTGAGGGGGCAGGGCCAAATAATCTCCATGGAAATGAGATGTGCCAGTGCTAATACCACTGCATACCAAATATCATTGACCAACCAATAGTGGTTCACCTTAAACTAGACCTAATCACAAACTAATACATTGTTGACGCCGCAGCAGTCACCACCGCCGACGCCAGAAAAAGCATACCTATGTCTCGCTTTTTGACTCCGTCAAGGCGAGACAAAAACTGCAAAAATATTAAATTTGGAATGCAGATTTCAGGTTTCTAATAACATGAATACATTTGATTTAGCTCAATTTGACTGAAGAGTAGAAGTAATACTTGATTAAAAATGTATGATATTACTTCCTTTTTAATTACTTAAAACTAATAGAATGAAGTATTAATACCTGGTAATTTGGTGTATGGAGCAGGTATAGGGCTTATCATAGCACTGTATGTCCACTGTGATTTATCAAACAGTTGTATATGAGGATCATGATCAACATGTACATCATCTTTACATTCTGTCCGGCCAATAAGTACAGTATATCCCATAATTCCAGATTCTCTGTCTATGAAGCCATCCCAATTAGCTGAAATGAAGAAAAACATATGTTTATATCTGAAAAGACATGACAAATGTATCAATTTCACAAATCTTGTAACAGTTGGCATTTATGTTTTTTTTAGTATTCTTTAATTGAAATCTTTATCTAATTTTCTATTTTTTTAGTAGAAGTGACAGCCATGTTTGATGGGTGTTGGGGTCATCAATCTTCATTCTGAAAGGTTATCGTGAATATATTGTTAAGTCAAATTTCGTTGCAACTTGCTATCTACAGGCATTTTCTAATAACATTTTTTTACAAAAGTAATCCCCCAAAAAGAGGTAATCACTGTTGTGCAGTACATATCACATATGCCACCAACTAGAGAATATCATCATCTTTGCTAGAGAAACACCCCCTGCATTATTTTAAGAGTAGAATCTGCTCATTTAAATCATATTCAAACTAAAATGACGAATGCAATGAAAACCTACCAGACATATATCTGTTTGCTCTTGTGAACTTCAAATCAAACATTGGTATAGGACCATTAAATACTGTCTGGGAACCAGTTCCATCAACTACCAGTCTACAATTGAAATTTAAACTATCAAATTTCAAACAAAAGCTTATTACAAGGAATTATTTGAATCTGGAATAAATTTGAAGATTGGAAAATTAATAAGAAATTTATGATGAAAACTAACCCAATTAGGGAGTTCATACTGAAATATAAGTGAAAGTAACATGAACACACTAATGTTAGTTTTCATTATACACTTCTTATCAATTTTCCAGAATTCAAAATTATTCCAGATTCAAATAATTCCTTGTTTTTATCATTTACCATCAACATATAATGCTGTATTGAATCAATACTTTGTTTTAGATATAGAATTTTGATACATATATGTGTTTTCAGCTTAAATTCTATGAAAATGATTAAAATTTTCCAGCCATAGAATATACAGTGTATGAAAAGGTTGATCTAATTGGGATTTGCAAATCATTAATATTTGTGATAATATTTATATGTTGAGATTATCAGTATACATACAAGAGTGCACAGGATGACCTGTCTCACCTGCTTTAATGAGTCTACTATTATTGTAAAAACAAAATATAGTTGACCTATTACTAACAGTATCTGAGATACAGACTTTAACATGAGACTAACCCTGTTTGATAATAAACTGATCATAGATACCAGGATTGCATTTTGTATGCCAGACACACATTCCGTCTACAAAAGACTCATCTGTGACGCTCCAATCAAAAAAGTTTAAAAGGCCAATAAATTAAGAAGTTTAAGAGCATTGAGGACCCAAAATTTATAAACGTTTTTTGCCAAATACAAATGACTGACATGTAAACTTGCAATGATCCCATATACCAAATGTAGTTATCCTATCATAAAATACTCATAATAAGTGAAAATTTCATTGACCTAAAAACCATGCAAACAAAAACTTTGTAACATAAGCCATCTGTATGCAAAGTATGAAGCATCCAGGTGTGTTACCATTTGAAATATAAAGCTTTATACAAATAGCTCTAATGCCATCCCTGCCATTGGACTACCCTCACTATCTCACTTTGCGAGACAGTGATGAAAATTATTGATTCACTATTGTACATATACTCTCTACTATGAACTCATTTTTTCATACATTAGATTTCCCATGTTGGCAGATCATGACTTGTAAAAAAGTCATTAAAAAATATTAGTTTTTAAGGCCATTACCATAATCAGGGCTTGTATAGTTCGCATTGGTACATTGTCCGCATCCCCCTTCTCGCCACGAAATTTCAGGTAAAAAAACTGTTGGTAACTGTTAGAAAAAGTCTATTGAACTCAGGTAATTTCAAATCGTGTGTGGTCATTTACGGTATTTAGATGGAAAAACCGTTTTCCATCATCAAATAATTCGTAAGGGTTCCACGGAACCCAGTGTCTCGCCTACTTTTTCTGTTAATGGCAGGCTCAACAAAAATGAGGAAGTAAATCAATAAAAATATTCCTGTTGATACTATCTTTTGATTGTAAGAAGCTTCTGTCCAAGTTTGGTAAAAATCCAGGATAGTTTATGAATCTAATAAATGTTAAAAAACTTTAACTGCAGACTGAATGTAATGTTAACTGGAAGAAAACAAAATTTCCTTCTAGATACTAGCATTTGATCATAAACAAGCTTCTGTCCAAGTTTGGTACAAATCCAAAATAGTATAAGAAAGTTATTAAAATTTTAAAAACTTTAACCACAGAGTGAATGTGTTGTTTCCTGGCAGAAAATCTAAGTCCATTTAAAAGTAAAATACGGAAAAAATGGATTTATTTTTTTACAAAATTTCCTTCTAGATACTAGCTTTTGATCATAAACAAGCTTCTGTCCAAGTTTGGTACAAATCCAAAATAGTATAAGAAAGTTATTAAAATTTTAAAAACTTTAACCACAGAGTGAATGTGTTGTTTCCTGGCAGAAAATCTAAGTCCATTTAAAAGTAAAATAAGGAAAAAATGGATTTTTTTTTTTTACAAAATTTACTTCTGGATACTATCTTATGATCATAAACAAGCTACTGTCCAAGTTTGGTAGAAATCTAGGATAGTTTAAGAAAGTAATTAAAATTTCAAAAACTTTAACCACAGAGTGAATATTTGTGGACGCCGCCGACGACGCCGATGGAATGTAGGATCGCTATGTCTCGCTTTTTCGACTAAAGTCGAAGGCTCGACAATAATATCTGAAACTGCTTGTAAATGATTCTAGAACACATCAAGAGTGTTAAAATAAGTCAAAATCACACAAAAAACTATTTAGAAACTTGTGTATGTTTAAACTGGAAGTTTGAATAGCACGTGTAAAAGAAAATAAATACGGTGAGAGTGTACTGAAAATCCGTTCTAAATAGATATCACTAGAATATGACTTTGAAAGTAAAACAGTTGCATCCTTGTGTAAAACAATGTTTAATATATCTATCACATTAATGTTTGAAGGATCTTAAGCTAAAACAAAACACATGCGTCAATATGAAACACCAAAATGGAATGAATAACCGATTACGTTTTGTAGTTTATACATCATAAGCTGGTTCTCGGTTGACTCAGATAATCCACATGTCCCCCACATCCCCCTGGATAAAAACAGTTAGCATCAAGTATTTTAAAAAAGTCTAAACAAAAATTAATGTTAGTCATTAGTCAGAATCCATCAACTGACCTGAATTTTGGAGTTGTGACCGACAGGAGTCATTTTATAACCCACGATTTCAGTATCTGACCTGTTTCAACCTTATTCTAGTTGCATAAAAATTTTTGCCTTCTAAATTGCAAAATTTTCCTTTGGAATACTGACAAATTTAAGGTTTTCTTGGACCATAAGTTCAACAGTTGATCTTATTTTACTGTTTTAATATGGGTTAGACAATACTTGAGTAAATCTGAACTAAAGTAATTTTGTTACCTACGTAATATTTTTATAAAAGCATCTGTCAATAAATTCCAAATGTGTTTAATATAAAACTAACCTATGATTCTGAATTTTAGGATGTACCCCTTTACAGAGTAACTTCCACTCAGGTCTGTCTTCAGGGAATAAGTCCAAACATGGAAGTATTTCAAGGTAATCAGCAGTCTTGTTGGAAATAAAGCCTACAAAATTTAATGACAATTAATTAGAAATGAGTATAATGTTTCTAAAATATATTGTTTAAAGAGGATATAACTTTCAGCAGGTTAATCTAATACAATATTATAATAAGGAACCACATATAAAGGGCTATTTGACACATAATTAAACTATCAGTTATGATTAAGTTTATTTATAGCTAAGGTAGCCATACTGGTTTGTGTATGAGATCATTAAATATCATAACTCTATCCCATATTCTATGTTGATTGTATATATGAAAACATGACTTGAAATAAAGATGACTTTACTTTAATTCAATAAACTGTTATCACAGAGATATGTCTCGCCTTTTTGTAATTTTGATAATGCAAATGTTGAAATTAAAATAGCAATACGTTAACATGTAAGTTATGCAAATATTCAAAGTCGATGAACCATGACTGAAGGTACATGGCTAAACAATCTCCATGGAATGAGATGTGCCAATGCTTATACAACTGCATACCAAATACCATTGACTTATTATAAGTCGTTCCCTTTAAACAAACCTAAACACAAACATTAACTTGTAAACTATGTAAAAGTTTAAAAGTCAATGAACCATGATAAGGGGTGGGGCTATATAATCTCCATGGAAACGATACTTGCAAATGCCAATAAATTTGCATACCAAATATCATTGACTTAACATTAGCAGTTCATCTTAAACTGATCTAATCACAAACTAATACATGTAAACTAAGCAAAAGTTTCAAAGTAAATAGACCATGACAGAGGGGGTGGGGCCAAATATTCTCCATGGAAATGAGATGTGCTAATGCTTATACAACTGAACACCAATTAACATTGGCCTACCACTAATGGTTCCCCTTGAACTGACCTAATCACAAACTAATACATGTTAACTTAGCAAAATTTTCAAAGTCTATAGACCATGACTAAGGGGGCGGAGCCAAATAATCTCCATGGAAATGAGATATGCTAATGCTTATACAACTGCATACCACATATTATTGACCTACCACTAGTGGTTCCCCATAAATTGACCTAATCACAAACTAATACATGTAAACTATGAAAAGTTTCAAAGTCAAAGACCTTGACTGAGGGGGCGGGGCCAAATAATCTGCACGGTAATGAGATGTGCCAATGCTTATACAACTGCATACCAAATATCATTGACCTACCACTAGTGGTTCCCCATAAATTGAACTAATCACAAACTAATACATGTAAACTATGAAAAGTTTCAAAGTCAATAGACCTTGACTGAGGGGGCGGGGCCAAATAATCTCCAAGGTAATGAGATGTGCCAATGCTAATACAACTGCATACCAAATATCATTGACCTACCACTAGTGGTTCACCATGAACTAGACCTAATCAAAAACTAATACATTGTTGACGCCGTCGCCGCTGTCGCCAGAAACAGCATACCTATGTCTCGCTTTCTGACTCCGTCAAGGTGAGACAATTACATTATTATTTAAATAAGCAGGATAAACACAACAAAGTTGAAACAGTTCAATTATCCTTTTTACTTGATTATCAGATATAAAACAATTATTGAAACAACACTCCAACTAATAAAATAAAACTTTCATTGATCTATCCTTACTTCTTATGTCAAATTATTGCAATTAACATGATCAAAATGTGGTTATTTTTTATGTTCTTTCAACTTATTATGTATTGTCAAAACCAGGGCTTCCAAAATTTCCTGACGTCAGCCGGACATTTTTCAAAGAAATATTTTTGACGGTCAATGATCAGCTGGATACTTAAATGTAACTGAGAGGATGCATAAATTGATATATGTGTCTAAATAATTAGTAGTGTTATATGCAATAAAATTATTTATAACTGTTTTGTTTTCTTCATTCTAAAAATAAATAAAATATTATCCTCTGTATTGTGTCATTTTTCTGTGTATCGTAATACAGTAACCATCATTGCATCAATCAGCTTCAGTACCTGACTGTTCTCATGTTTTTGTTTCTGTTTATATAATCTATCTTCTCTCTGTGAGTACTTAACACTTTGTAAATTAAGGCCATCTTATTTGAAACTGTTGATGTTGGCTTTAATTGCAGTACAACTTGATCATCAATACACGTGATACTTTTCTTTTTGTGTATTGATTACCTGACCACGTGACTTTTACAACTGATGCGGTATTTATAGATAACATTGAGGAGGCCCAATGAAGGATATTGTTTTAAACCGTGTAAAATCTACTGAACAGTGATAACATTTTTCTTTGTACAATTTCCCAACCTGATTTAGAAAATAAGGAATAAATAAAAACATACTCAGTTGATAAATAATTTAATGAATAACAACATGATATTTTATGTAAGCATATAACAACAATAAAATATCAGAAGAGCACAATGTTGACAAACACACGCAATAAATATTACAATGAGCACATTGAAAAGAAGCACAGATCACAGCACAAGATTAGAAGTTCATTTAGTCTAATTTAAGATTTTACATTCATGAGCTTGCTAAATGCATTGTTCTGATAAACATGGCGGTTACGAACGGATTGCCATTTGCGGATAGCAGGAACAGGGTCAAAGTCTTTAACATCTACACCTACTAAGCTTATCCTCATAAGTTGATCTAAAGCGTCAATACCTAGACTACACCTTAGTTTTGTCTTGATAATGTTCTGCCTTGAAAAACCCCTTTCACATTCAACACTAGAAACCGGCAAAACACGTGAAATTTCCATTAGCGAAATTGTATTTAGGAACTGGTCTTTTCTTGAAATAATTGCAGTCAACAGATCGGCAAACGAAAGTCCCTTGTAGTTGTTGAAGATCAAATACTTAAGTATGCCCCATTCTATTTGTAGTTCTTCTTGGTTGACTATACTATAATGGTCTCCGAGACACTCTAACTGTTGTTCACCGTAGCGAGGAAGGTCGTCAACACTACTTGGAAAGTTCGACGGTTCAAATACAGAGAATGCTTCGAAAATTTTGTTGTCTGGAAATCGGTCACGAATGTTATCATGTATCAATTGGGCACATTGCACGGCTCTTGTCTTGAGATGAATGTCACGGTTGTTACGTTTAAAGGTGATAGTGTTGAAGCTGTCAGATTGGTCTGTTGATTTTAGAAATTCGGCACATAATGGTCCAAATGAAGGAATCTCGGTTAAGTACTCGGCCTCTATTGCCATAAGAAAAGAGTCAACTAATTGTTTCACGGTGGCATAAGACAAGTCACGTTTTTGAAGTGATTTGCTGAGCTGATTAATTTTACCAAACAGGTCGGATAAAAAGTAGAGCATGAAAAAGAACTTGTATGTTGTCATACTGTTGTGAAGAGAATTAGCCACGATGTCGGTGTCACTCTGGTCGCCTAACATGTTTACAATGGAGACAACAGAACGGCGGAGATTGTCTAAAGCGTTTCCCATAGAAAGCCAGCGGACTTTATGAATATCAAGCGGATTTAACAACGGATCATCTATTATTAGTTGCCATGATCGTAGTTCGGCAAGGTTTGTGGGTGAACGTTTGTAATACGAATATACAGTGCTAACAATGCTTTCTAAAAATTTAATGTCCGGAATTTCTTTTGCCGTGTCAACACAGGCTAATGCTAGGCAGTAAGCTACGCAATGAACCTCTACTAAGTGTGGAGAAGTGTCTTTTAAAAGCTGAGATACACCTCCATGCTTTCCTATCATAACCGACGCACCGTCAGACCCCATGCCGAATATTTTAGACAAGTCTACACCAAATGACTTTAAATAGGCAATTATATGTGCAGTAATTGACACGGCGGTACCAGAAGACAAGTTCAAAAGTTTTGTAAAACTAATTTTCAGTTCACCAGCTTTGAGGTATGATAAGTACAAAATTAAATGTTTTTGTGTAGCCAGATCAGTTGACTCGTCGATCATAATTCCCACGGCGGGACTTAACTTTACGTCGGACATCACCTCTTTCTCTATAACATCGGAAATTGTCTGAATAAATTCGGAGCAGGCATTGTTCTCTTGATATAATTTAGAAGTGATCACGACACCATTTAACTTAGTTAAATCATTTATTGACTGAAATTTGTCCATTGGTAAGTTTTCTTTAGCAATAAAGTAAGCATTACGGAACAAGGTGCACATTGCGTTGTCAGTCTTTTCATGAACTTTCTCAAATACTGATACAATTGGATTACTTTTGGAAGCTGTCTCTAATTTAAGAGCTTGAACGTGGTCATTGCTATTAGCATGCTCTACAACGGCTGACTTTCGAAAATTTGTCGAACCAGGCTTTACAAAGTTATTTTTAAGTTTATGTTTTTGACAAATGTCACAAAACATGGCATTTAGCATACTGTCAAATCTTAACCATAAAAACAGTTGTAACCATTTATGAATAAAGCTTCTAGCATTTTTAGCAGATTTCGAGTTTTGATCGGAATCGTCACGTTTACGTTTGCCCATGATGGCAGATTTGTAAAGTTCAATTTGAGACAAAGTCTTTATAACAGTCGGAGATTGTCATGATTGGATATTATTCTTTATGATTTTGATTATAAAAACAGTTTTTAATATGAAAACAAGAATAGAGAACGCCCCCCTTATTTATTGGACAACTCAGCTTGGTATACCCAAGCGAAGCTATTCTCGGTGTTTTTCCTATATATTTTAGTAAATTTTCCCCTTGAGAGTACCCCAGTATTTAACACGATGTACAGTGTTAAATAAAATAATATATATCATACTTATTCATTTATAAATATCCTTATTTGAAGAATAACTTTTAAATATCAGGATACTGTTTTAAACTGGATGCTCATTTAAAATAATATCTATAAATCGTAATTAAATAGGATGTTGTTCCATACACGCTTACATGTTTGACCTCGTTTACCTGATTACCTTTATGTACATTGTTATGCATCATTAATTCTATTGATAAAGACAGGCTAAGGACACCTCATCAAAGGTAACAAACCTGTAATCAGTGAATGATTTATGGCTTCAATATAACTTATTGAAGGGATAATTGTTTGACAGCTTGTTGTTATTTAAATAAAAGAAAACGTGTTTTTTCTACTTTTTATTGATGTACACAAGCTAAAGACCAAGCCGTACATTTATGTACCCAGAGGATTAGACTAACTGAGACACTTCAAAGTATCTGAAATATGCTGCTTCTGTTTTATTAAACCCAATTATGACCGAAATATCTTTGTGAAATAGATTGCCACAATTATAAACTAAAATGCCCAAACGGACATGCCCAAAGCCCCAAACGGACATTTTTATCGATCGATAGTTGGTAAAAATTGAAATGATAGTTTCATGAAAATGCCTTGAATAACAAAATGTGGCACACCAATTCTATTTGACCGTTTGAGGCTGAGAGCAGCCGGTCATTTTATGAATGTTTCGGTCAAGTCCGGAATATATGACCGTTTTGGAAGCCCTGGTCAAAACGGAATAAATGTATTTTACATAAACTAACAGAACATAAACTCTAGTATGCCAAAATTAAAATATTAACAGATAGTGTCAAAATTTGACACCCTTTAATATAACCTCTGGGTAAAAATCACAAAACAAGAATACACATGTTGATGTGCTATGCATACCCAAACTCATAATTCAAAGTATTGGAAACAGGGAGTAGATGTCTGACAAATCCTAAAAGCGCTCACACGCTATAACTTATCACTGTTAAGTTTCTTTCAGCATATATTTGATCCTCCTAAATAGTTTAAATTGTTTTTATAGCGGTTAAGATCATAACACAATGTTGACTGCTAAGCAAGAGGTTTAGCTAGCAATAAAACCAGGTTTAATACACAATTTTCTACATAAGGAAATGCCAATACCAAGTCAGGAATATGACTTGTTTTCCATTCATTTGATGTGTTTGAGCTTTTGATTTTGCCATTTTATAAAGGACTTACCGTTTTGAATCCCCCCCCCCCCCCTCCCCAAAAAAAAGACATGCACTCACAGTGGTACCCATTGACATAACACAATGATTTTTCAAAAAACAAAATTTGATAACTCCACAATGTCATATCAGAAATTCATAAAAAAACAAAAAAGGAGATTATATCGAAAGATATAAACAAGTCACCAAAGTTTCATAAGAACTTTTTAAAGCAGTTTTTAGTTATTGTCTGAAAACTGGAAAATCCCCCTCCCCTTTTATGAATAAAGTTCCAATACACCAAAACGTAAAATCAGATTTTTTTTTAATCAAAAGGGAACTTATGTCAATAAATATATAAACAATCCATCAAAGTTTCATGAAATGCTAAATGCATTTTTGAGTTAAAGTCAGAAAACTGGAAAATCCCCCATTTTTTTTATGAATAAAATCCAATAACTCTGAAACTTAAAATCTAAAATTTATAAAAATTTAAAGGGAACTTATGTCAATAGATATAAACAATACACAAAAGTTCCATGGAAATTGGTGGAAGCGTTTTTGAGTTATTATCCACAGTGTTGACAATGGACAGACAGACAGACAGACAGACAGACAACAGTATACCACAAGTCTTTAAAGAAGAGCTTATAAAAATTTTGTGGCCTATCGTATACACTGTACCTGTTTCAGGGGTAGTTGTATCTACAATGACTCCTTGTGTGGTAAGTATACTTTCATATCCTAGAACATTGACCAGTCTCAGATTGAAGTAATACGATTTATTATGTTGGAGTTGCAGATTTTCATATACAAACTGCTTAGACTTGCCAATTCCAAGTCTCTCATAATGTTCAAACAATCCAGACTTGGACCTTGAGTAGTGATGTCCCTCAATGGCTTCCATAAGCTCACATACTCCTTTACCAAAGTCATAATTAAAACTCATACACTTAGTACGAGGTAAATCTGCACAGGCCCTGGCACAATCTCCAGGACTATTTTGTTTGGTGTCAGGAGCTGATTTTGGTCCAATTAGTTTTCCAGTGTCTGATCCAGAAAATAACTGGTCAAGAACTTTTGTATTAAAAGGATCTTTCCCTGAAAAAGATGTATGCAGAAAAAATATATTGAATAAGAAAATGTAGTTTCATTTATAAACATAACAACACTGCAGGCAAATTAGGGATAAAAGCAAATGTGCTAAATTGACCCTTCAAAGAACAATATATCTCATTTTTGCTCAACCACCAAGGCCAACCTTAAAAATATGTTTGTTTGCAGTTTTCCGACTGTACCTTCAGACTGAAGGGTCGGTAGGTAGGAAAAATATTTTATTTTATCAGCCAAAATGAAGTTTATACAAGCAGTTACACAAACCAAGTTTCTTGTGAAGAAATTTTTTTTTAAAACAACAAACACTGAAAACCAACATGAAATGAACAGGCATTTTCAGATAAAAACTTTTCAACCAAAATTGAAACTATAACATGGTTTGATTATCCAATTTATGACATTATTAAATACTTGTACTGGAACACTTATAAGATCTTATAAACAAGGAATGACTAGAACTGTTTTAAAGAAATTGTTCACTGACATATGCTTCTTTACTAGAAAGTTTTCATGAGTAGAGTATTTTCATTAGGAAAGTGTAGATATCAAATATTCATAAGACAATGTAAGAGTGTTATCAATAAAAAAAATTAACCATTGAATCTTTCTCAATTAAAAAAAAAAAGGAAACTTGAAAAAATATATTTGACATCTGACTGTTTTCATAAATCTAAAAATATTTAATTATATGTAATAAGGTTATATTTTGAAAGATATGTTGATGTGATCAGGCTTTAATTAAAACGAAAAAAAATCTTAGACTTCAGGGTGAAATCAATAGCACCCCTTTAAAAGTAAATAATCTGTGCTGAAATGTTTTGACTGCATAAAAAATTGGCAGCATAGCTCCTAAGGACATGTTTTAATTCAATTCACACAAGCCACACTGTTTGGGTATATTTAATATTGTAAGAGGGAGAAGAATTGCAATGAGTGGGGTAGCTCCCCTTATCCTAAAGGAGCATACTCATTGCAATAGAAGATAGATTTAACATAGAGAAAGTATATTTATTTTTACAAGCCAACCATTCATTTTCTTTACATCTTTGTGTAGTTTCTGTGGCTTCTTATAGATTTGGCATTGTCTATCGATTATAAATTTCAAATGCGCCCTTCCTATCGTGTTTATAGGTATCCATGAAGTCATGGAGAAGTGGTTTCATCCTTGTTGTCTTCACAACGTTTTATAGAAACTATGGCATACTTCAGGCTGCTGTCAAATTGTTTAACCACTGATATTGGTTCCATAAAGTCAGGCTCAAGAGATTCTGTACCCGATCTGTTTGAGATGGAAACCGTTATCGCGTTTATGAATATCCGCTGCATCATGCGTTCTCAAATCGTCAATGATATCTGTCTGAATCTGTATAAACAGTTTACTATTAAACTTTTTTGGCTGTTATTTGTTTTAAAATTGACAGAAAACGACAGCGCAAAGTACTCATCCATGTCTTCATCGATACCTGTAAACAATCTCCATGTGCTTTATTATTAAACGGTCCCATGTACGCTTGACAAGAAGGTAAAACCGAATTTGAAACGTGTAATCGACCCAGACTTTAAAACAATTCCGGAAACGACCAGAAGTTCCGGATTGCGTCAATAGAAAAATAAAAATAATTTCTTCAAATTAAAAGCAATAAAATTTTCACAGTCGGGCGGATTTTCGAGGGTCGGTCGGTAAACTGCAAACAAACAATATTTTAATTTAAGCCCAAAGTAAGTCCGAAATCCATGAACTGCAGGGGCGGATCCAGCTATTTCTAAAAGGGGGTTACAACCATATGTCCCCAATCAAAAGAAATGAACGTTAAAAAGAAAAGGAATTTGTCATATGAGGGCCTACAGTATATGTTTTGCTCTTTGTTGAAGGCAATTCAAAAACCTATAGTTGCTTACTTTCACTTCATTTGATCTCTGTTGGAATGTTGAAGTTGTCCCAATGGCAATCATACCACATCTCCTTATTTTTACAATGACAATTGTGTTGAAAAAAGTTAAAGCAGTTTATAATTTGTGGCTAATTTGAAAAAAAATCAATAATATGCACATCCTTAGTCATTGTTAGAATACGTGTACTAACACCTTCCTTAATATAATGACAAACTGCATGTAGATTTAAACAAACCTGTACACTATGTTGGAGGACCAAACAGAGTGGGGGTAAAACAACATAGGGCAATACTAAATCTGTTTTTTGTGCAAGTAATGTTTCATAACATTGCAAGGTCAAAAGTAAAAAGAAAGAGACACCCATGAAAAAGTAAAGAAATATAGCCAAATCACGATTTCTATCTGGTAAATAAAACCAGTCATTTTTAAAAATAATTATAAACATGCAACATGGATAAGGATAATAGCCAACCAGAAGATGGAGAGGGAGTTATGCCTTTTTCAAACCTTTTAAATTGACATTTATACCTATATTATCATTGATCTCATCATGACCAAGGTCAACATCATTCCAGGCAACCATCTGGTCCCCATAGATTCCTTTCCCATATCCTGCTCCAACTTGTACAGTCTGAAGTTCTGAGTCCTCATACACCGTAACATAGGCCCTTAAAACCTCAGGGTTACTTGTAGACATAAATTCCTCCTGAAATCTTCCACCAGGAACAGTCACATCATATGTCGGTAGACTACAAAATGCTTCTGCCCTTTGACCTGAGTTGTTTTCTGCTATAAAGGTGAAGTAAATTGGAACTCCAGTTCCTTTACTTTTAAAGTTCTAGAATATCAATATTCATAATTATTGCTTATTTGATACAATCAAAGTCTTTTTTTTTATCCAAAATGACCTACATCTGTTTGCAGACATGAATAAAAGACTCCCCTGTGTTATTTTATATGATTAATTACTAAGGGGACAGTTTATAAGGGCACTCTAAAAATAATCTTAAAATAAAACAAGTACTGAAAATTCAGAAATTATTGTGAGTTTTTTATTAATATGAATAATGCGACTGCAATAATAAGAACTCACATTCTGATATCTGATACATATATAGATATAAGAAGATGTGGTATGGGTGCCAATGAGACAACTCTCCATCCAAATCACAATTTGTAAAAGTAAACCAAAGGTCAAAGTATCTGTATAAAGATTTTGTTGAAATCGCAATAATTAATCTCGAATTTTTGTCCATTTTTTAAAAATCGCAATAATAAATGCACGCAATAATTTCTGAATTTACAGTATCTTTTAAGAAGGTATTGCAATAATGTAATACTCTCAAGACACTTACTATCCTAAAAAAAAGAGCTGTTGAAAACCATCAGTCCTATCTGACCCAACCTATAGAAAACCTCACAGTCTAGTAGATGTTGGGAACTTATCTTGATAATGCCCAGTAGAAGGGAAAGACCCCTATTTATTTTGGAATCAATTGGTCAAAGTTTATAAGCTATCAATAGACTGCAATGTTGACAGAAGTTTGGTTTCCAGATGTTATGTTTTAACCATATATCCAACTTTAACTGGCATACAAACATGGTGATTCCCATCTACTCAAAATCTTTTTAGATAAAAGGAGACGTTTGGTAATATTTAAGTGGGACTGCTGTATGACACAATAAATGAAAGGACATCTAGAGGCAATTTTACAATAGACATATGTGTATAGGCTAGGTTCTATGTATAAGTTTCTGAGATCTATTGTGGTTTAGATGTGCAAGATTAGAGTGAATTAAACTTACCTCTTTGATAACTGTTGATGGTCCTCCAAGTTCATATTCATGTAACACATCAGACCCTCCTGGTACAGTTCCTACATTTAAGTACAGCTTCACTTGACTTCTGTCATCTTCAGCTCGGATAGAGATTTCAAACTCTGGTTCTGTGTAATCTATGTTTGGTGTTTGATTAACATAACAGGAAGCTGTTGATCTTTTTTTCTACAATGAAATGATAGATCATAATATATTTTGAATGACAAGTTACATGTCTTGGTAAACTTTAAAATTAAAGTAAGCTCTTTTTAACAAGAACTCTAATCATTCAAGAATGATTTCAAAGAACCTTTGTTGAGCATGCATGCTACATATCCCACGTCTCCAAAATAAAAGGGGAGAATTCTAAATCATTAGGGATCATCCTCTCATTATATGTGATAAAATATTCAACGAAGGTTGCAGTCCTATGAACAGTAGTTTTTTAGCTTATGAACAGACTACACAGATCGGAAAACATAATGTCCTTTCCTACTGTAGGTGGAGAATTAAAACCAACTCTTATAAAAGTTTATACATTAGTGCAAATATATTTATTTTTGTCATATAAAGATCATAAATAAATACTGCATCACTAGATTTTATTTCATATTTAAAGAATAAGACAACAAGACTTTACCTTTTCAGAACTATCATCAGCATTGATAACAGATGAAATTTGTGGTGGGGAAGCATCCTCTTCTTTTTTCATTGTATCGATCACTTTTTTGCTAATGGTCGGAGCTCTGTATCTCCATAGTGTAACACTGATAATTGTCTTGGTAAATTTAAATCCCCATGGAAGTCTTATTTCCAATGTAACTTTGGCCTTCAAGTTGATCTCCAAGGGAACTAGCTCCAGATACATAGACAGGCTTAAAATAAAAATTACATTAAATTTTTAATCCTCAATTTCTTCACTGTATTAGCAGTATATTCTATCACATAATATTCAATGATCTTGTGTATTCTATTATATAATACTTGATAATGTTGTGAATTATGAAATGTTAAATATCTAAGAGATTTAAATTTTGGTTATCCTTAATTTCATAAAATATAACAAAACATATGAAACAAACAGGTTTGTTTGGTACATGTGCTTTAATATAATAATTTATTTTAAAAACAATAATATTTTTTTTAAATTTTCTGAAAAATTTACTTATTCATTCTTACAGTTTTTACATCATCCCTAGTGAATCTAGAATTTATGGTCAACATCTGCCTTTAATTCAGTACCAAAGAAACTTGATTTGTAACTTTTTTGCAAAGCACATTTCTGTCATGTTTTCTTTCAAATGATTTATTTTTGGTGAGCGATAGATATCAAAATGCATCACTTGGTGTAGCGTGCTTCCATGCAGCTTGCCACTAGTTTCAGGAGGATCTGATTCAGAATTCTAGGGAAAAACGCATTGAAAATTTCATAAATGGAAATTGTGTGTATTAGCATATAAAGTATCAGGTAAACTGCAAGATTATTAGAGATGAATGTGAAAAAGCATCACACAGCATGTTATGTTCAGATGAAACTTGCTACCAAATTTTAGGAAGCTCTGATTTGTTGCTGATATTTCTAGTTAGTTTTAATTTTATTAGTTTAATAATTATTCCACTTACCCAACATCAAGGGGAAATTTGCTGAATCCTACTTCTATTGTTGAAGGAAATGCAGTATTCAGCACATGGCCATTCAACTGTAATTTACCACATAATACCCAGAAACAAAGTCCAACTGACCCATAACCTTTTGCTCCAGCATAAGGAATAACAGTGGCATATCCTTTCATCCCTAAGATTTTCACTCCAACCTCAAATTTCATTCCATAATACCCAACAACTCCAAATTCTGCAAAGATAACAAGGTTATAAAATGCTTAGTGCGAAAATGTCTTTTTATACATCATGATAAAAGTGAAAGTTTCTTCTGATATCCCTTTAACTAATGATATAAATATACTTACAAGCAGTTATTTAAAGAGTTATTTATTCATGAGTTTCATCTTATTTGACATATTAATTCATGTTTTCTCACGTTTTTTTACACATTTATTTGTGTGTTTTCACCTTACATAAAATTAGTGCATTCATACTTTATTGTTAATAATTCTTTTTGTAAAATGAGATAATTGTAAATCTAAAACAATGTTCACAATGTGTGTGTTTTATTTGTTCAACTTGACCATGGCCATCACTGGACATTTAGCAACCAACTATCAGTCGAATAATAAAATCTCTAACCCTTCGGGTAATAATGTGAAATTCTGGAGACAGAGAGTTTTAAGATGTTAAAGTAACTGAACATTAATTGACAATGAAATACTTACCAAATCTAAGTATAAGTGGACCAATTGGCATATCATGATAAAAATCTGGAAAAGGTTTAAAGTTCTGTCTTGGAAAACTAACATCTCCATTTATTATGATATCAGTTCGTTCAAAAGCATTAGTTGGATCTCCAAGAACTTTGTCCATAAACTCTGTTAGCTGTAATAAAAAACTTAGGTGAATATCAATTATTATTATTTGTTTACTCATAACACAATGAAATACTATAGAGTCATACAGTTGACTGCCCTGGGAACAACGATTGTTTGTATAGTAAAAACGCAATTTGAGGAAAGAGAAAATATTAATCAATGCAAATTCAGTGCATCTATCCTGAAAATGACAAATACATATAGTCATCTTCTCTGATTTAAATCATCCTGTATTATTTGCTGATGCCACTGAATAACCCATTTTTAACCTTCCAAATTTTCACTACAAGTTAAGAAATATATTAATTTTAAATGCATGCATTACAATACATACCAAACCCCTAGATAACTCCTTAAGTTGACCAAACAATTCTATGACAACAATTGGGTCAAGATTCCTAAGATCTAACATGGCTTTAATTTCACCAATGGTCATCTTGGCCAGTTTCTCTCCTAACATTTGAACTCCTGCATTAGACAGGCCTTTTCCTACTATAAATACTTGATCAGCACGTCCTACGATATCTGTTGCTGTTGACAACATGTCAGTTACAGATTTAGCTACAAAAAAATTAAAATGTTCTGTACTATATCAACCATTTAATAATACATAAATACTAGATCAGTTTTACTTTATCTGTTGATGTTGATAACATGTCTGTCATTGCTTATATTCTACAATAACTAGAGGCTCTAAGGATGTACACCTTTAACAAAGGCCACTCTCTAACAATTAAAACTAGAAAATAAATTATGACTAAAATCTCTTTTTTTGTTGACCGTGCCTTGCTGGTCAAAATAAAAAAAAAGTTAAAAATTGTTGTTTAATGGCAATAACTCCTGTAAGCAGTCAACTGACAATTTCGGCAATGTTGACCTTTTTGTAGATCTTGTCTTGCTTATCATTTTAACTGTTAACTGTTTATCCTATCCGTTTCAATTTTAAACAAAAATGTTAAAGTGTGCAAAAACCATGATTAAAGGGCAGTAACTACTATAAAGAGATGAGTTATATATTCAGCCATACTGACATATTGTATATCTTGTCCTGTTGATCATGTTTGCTGTTTAAAGTTTCCATCTATCCATTATAGATTTTAAGATAGTAGGCAAAAATGCCAAAAAAAATAGAAAAAAAAATCTTCATTCAAGGGCAAAAACTCAAATAAGGAGTCAACTGATGGGATCTTGCCATGCTTTTCGTTTTTGCTATTCAAAGTATTCTCCATCTATTATACTTTTCAAGATTGGTTCCAATTGGCCAAGTAGTTTTAAAGGAGAAGAGTTTTGTAAAAGTTAATGGACATTGATGAATAAAGAACGCCAAATGATGAGAAAAGCTCATCTGACCCTTTAGGGCAGGTGAATAAAGAGTAACATACTTCTGTACTAATTAAACCATTTCATAATATAAATATTTTGTCCATCTGAAGCCTTATGACTGTTACAGCTACCATGAGAGTTATTACCATCAATTCAAATATTTGTCAAATTTAGCATACTGAAAACTAGAGGCTGTAAGAAGCCTACATTGTTCACTACTTCCATGAATGATATTGACTCAACTTAAGTATCAGTAATGTAAAAACAATGTTCTTTAGTGGACGACTATATCATTAAAAACCCTTTAAAACCAACACTTCTGTAATGATGTGAGCAAAGATTGATTAAAATTTGTTGCTTGAAAGTTGTTTTATGAGATGTTGCTTTTAGGATATTTTACCATAATGCCCACTGTTAAACCATAAAAATATAATCAGCATTATTGGTCTTACTGCTGTAAAGGGTATTTGCAAATGATTAAAAAAAAAACTCCTTCTGTAGAAGCTAGCTGTAACAAGCCAAATTATTTGTATATAAATAATGAGATTTTACATATATTTTATGTTAGTACAGTAAAGGTTTGGTCGCTGGGATCATCAAACAAAGTTCTAAAAGGAACCATTAATGGACTACTTTAAAAATAAATCCAGATTTATTCCATGGACCTACAAAAGAAAGGGTTCACGAAGATGCTTTCCCATTTGTACTATTCATAATCAAAGCAAGATAGCGCTGGAAAAAGCATATGCCGTATATCTTACAGAAAATGTCAAAATCAAGATAGTTTCTTTTAAACTGTTTCCATTCGAAATACCAGGCTTCGTAAACCAGTCCGATAATGATATATCTTAAAACCACAAATTACTATGTGAAAATACACACAACTTGTTGCAGATCCGCAAACACAGCAAGGTTTACCAATACCTTTCTCGGATTAAATCAACAAAATTATTTTGATATTTTGATATTTAAACAAACAAGGGAGTCCCTATTTATTATTTTAATACAGCAAAATTTAATTCGTAAAAAACAAAAGTAACCGTGTTGGTACGCTTTAAACTGACATTTGCCTCTATTTGTATAAACCACACAATATTTGCCTCCATTTGTATAAACCATACAACATTTGGCTCTATTTGTATAAACCATCTACAAACCTCCTTTTGTGCCAGAAACAATATCTACTGTCCATATTGACGACAATACAGTTGGATTATTTGTTCCTAAAGCTTTCATGATAGACCTGGGTCCTGTAGTGATGTCATCATCCATAATCTGGCTTGGTTCCAGATTGCCTGACCTCACTTGGTTCTGTTAAATTAAATACAGATATGGATATTTTTATATCTATTTCAAAGAATACCTGAAATAATTGCTGTTTTGAAATGAACTGTGTGAAAAGTCCGTTTATTCATTTACCTTGTACAATCATGGTTTGGGCTGAATGGACTAACGATAAGTTCTGGTCATTTGCAAAAATACTAAGTGAACTAGATCAACTAGTTTTGAGGCCGTTTGACACTTATGTCCTGAAAGCAACTATTTTTCAGGTGTAAGGTTGGTGGTTTACTCTTACAAGTAAGTCATGTCCTGTATCATCTTCAACTATAACAGTTTTTTTTTAACATTTCCTTCAAAAGGAATAATTACCTGTTTCTTGTAATGTAGAACTAAAGATTAGGATTGGGGGGAAAAGGGGGGGGGGTAATTACTTCTCACCATAGAGTTATTTGCTGAAGTTAACCAAAGTTTTTTTTCTGGCAGGGATATATGTTGAGGTTGTCAGCAAAATAAAATATTAGATTAAATTCAAATGTTTCATAAGGTTAAGCACTAGCTTTCTTTTCCACCCATATGTTGAACATGAGATTAATAATTTCTGTGTGAGTTGTACTGGTAATAAGTCTATCAATGGACATTGGAAATAAGGATAATTCATAATATTGGACTCAGTCCAAATAGGACCCATACACAGGGGCTGATATCATTTGTTATGTTTTTACATACTTCTTAAGTTGGGTAAATGTCAATGAGACAGCATCCCAATCACACAAACAAATAAAAGACATTAACAGGTATGTACATTGTAATAAATGACTTCATCCATAACATGAAACTATACTTAGATACAATTCGGATTGAAAATTTTTAAAAGCACTTACTTCATATTCCTTGGCTTCTCTTAAAAACTCTTGAACTTGTTCTGAAGATGCTAGATCTTCATGCAGTTTTCTTATACCACTTTTAAGATCAGAAGGGTCAATTCTGAAAAAAATAAAGCATATAAAAATATCTATCCAAATTAGATAGTTGACAGAACAAGGAATGTAGTTTTGAGTAAGCTTGGTCAATAAATATCAAACTCTTAATTTGTACTTTCTGCAAAAAATTCAAACAAATAAGAAATTTAACAAAGATGCAGAACATGAAATGTTGGTATAAGTAGCTTAGAAACAATATATCTTAATGAAGTATAGCTCAACTGAATAAATCTGTTAATAAAGTATAGTACAATTGAATAAGTCTGTTAATAAAGTATAGCTCAACTAAATAAATCTGTTAATAAAGTATAGCTCAACTGAATAAATCTGTTAATAAAGTATAGCTATAGTATAGTTCAACTGAATAAATCTGTTAATAAAGTATAGTTCAACTGAATAAATCTGTTAATAAAGTATAGCTCAACTGAATAAATCTGTTAATAAAGTATAGCTCAACTGAATAAATCAGTAAATAAAGTATAGCTCAACTGAATAAATCTTGATAATAAAGATGAAGTTTCTAGACTTAAAGTTGCTAATAAAATGCAATAGAAATTCACAAGAGATGGATGGACTGAAATTAACTAGTTTATAAAACCTTTTTGTTGCTATGGAATAACATTAGCTCAAATACAACAATACAGGAACAATGTTCTAACGTCCCTTACTAATTCACATATCTTGATTGTCATGGATCAATATATTATATATTATAATTTTGGTTCTTTTTCATAAATATCCTACAAGATAGCTTGCTATGCAGTATGGGTTTTACTCATTGCTGAACGTCCTACATTGAGCTTTAGTTGCTTACTTCTATGTCATTTGGTCTCTGGTGGAGAGTTGTTCATTGGCGATCATACCACATCTTATTATTTCATATATGTGATGAATAACAATGTAATTTTCCTTATAACTTTAAATTCCAACTGTCATAACTTCTGTACAAATAGTTGGTCAGTGTTGATTATCAAAATTGTCTTGCTAATGTAAACCTTTGGTATAAATTTCAAAAATATCTGAAAAGAAATGTAGGCTTGAGAGCCCTTAAGGTTGCACTTTGTAAATACAGCTGTTTCACAAGCCACGCCTCTTTTGGGGAGATGTATAATATTCATAGATATTTTGTTTTGTTTACTTACTGGTTCCCAGATATGATCTCTATGTTTCATCTCATAGAGAAATAACTTTGGAATGTTACCAGTAAACAAACACATCTTTGTGGTGAGAAATGAATTCTGAGGAATTCTGAGGAAGACCTTAAGTAAAGTATAAGTTTAAACTCTTAGAAGTTCGGGGCATATAAATGTTGAAAATATGCCGCACAGCCCTATGTTTTGACCTTTGAATAAAAAAGTAGTGCATATCAACTTTCCGTTCTAGGATATAATTTTTTACGAAACTTCATAGTAAAAGAGGAACAACTTTAGCTGCAAAGGGAGTTCCTATGGGAAATTGCATTGTCTGTATTTACAGAAGTGCAAACTTAAAATGCAATTTTTCCAAATAAAATTTACAATTCTAAAGAACATAACTGTAAAGATAATTGATCAGGGCTGATTTTTAATTTGACAGAGACATTGCTGATATATAACCTTTGATATAAATTTGCTTAATACCCTAAAAGAAATGTAATGCAATTTTCAATACAATTCATATTTCTAAACTTATTTAAAATTAGTTGCAATTTGATTAGTACTGATTTTTTTATCTCATCTGAGAAATTGCTGATAGAAACCTTTGATATAAATTTCATAAAAATCTGGAAAGAATTGCATGTGTGAGAGTACTAACAAGCTGGAAAGACACCAAGTATTTCTATGTCCCTCCCACCACTGCATGGTGGGGGGGCCAAAAATAGTAAATTGTGATAATTTATATAAACGTCTACAATACATTTTTTGGTATTGTTTGTATAAAACTCATTCTGACATTATGATTCAACTCACCCATACGAAACAGCTCTCCTTTTCCTTCTTCTTTGCTGTGGTGAACAGTCTGTTTTTTTCAAGGTAACCTGTTCTACTAGTGTCAAGTTTGTACAAATGCCTCCACTCAAGTAACAGATATTGACAGACAAGGTCACTTTATACAATGAAGAGGAACTTTCTATTACAGCCATACTTAGGCTGAACACATCATTGACTCTCTCTGCCACGGTTGATCCTGTGGTAAATGTAATCAAACATATATAAAATTGTTGCACTTATAACAATAAATTAAGTCATTGGTTTAAAGCTTCTGAGTATTGGGTTTCAGATTTTGCACATGATAATCAAGAAAGATATATATGCATTTTGTCAGGTTTAAAAAGGACGACATCAAACGCACAGACCAAAAAACATAATGCCCCTAAGTGGGGCATAATCAAAGTGCTGGATAGCACCTCTGGAAAGTTTGCAACTGTAGATGTGTATTATTTTAAATAGGTTATAGACGTGTATTATTTCAAATATGTATTTAATCACAACTTTGATATTTTAACTAAACCTTTGTCTTGTCAGCAATCATCAAAAATCACTTTTTTTCATATGTTTGTCATAGAAAATTTTGATATTTTCTATTGCAACCTTAAACTGTAGATCTAAAATAATCAAATATACAGAAAGCTCTGTTAATTTCTTTATGTGCCCATGCCATGTCAAGGGCCTGTAAATTTAATATTTTTCTATTGGTTTAGGTCCTTCATATTTGTTTTTAGTCAAATGTTTTGTTACTGATTAACCCTTAAGTTTTCTTGTTTGAATTGTTCCACATGTTTCATATATATAGCTTACTATATGGTACAAGTTTTTCTCATTGTTGACGACCGTATGGTGGCCTATAGTTGTTAATATATCTTCCTCGACCTTTAAACTCTTTTGTATAGCATTGGTTCATTTGCAAAAAATACCACATTTTTTTTTAAATAAAACAGTTAACTTAAATCAATACAACTGTAATGAAAGTGAATTTATATTAAAGGTTGTGATCAATAAATAGGGAATGTGTCCATGACACAAATGATGCCCCCGCTGCATTAACGTTATTAAGGGTCACAACTCAAGAACTCTAAATATGACACTACCAAAATTTGTACTTGATCTGAGTTTTGGGGTAATAAGCATTGTGTATACATTCTTCACATTAAGTTGAGGCAAACTTAAGTTAAAGAACGGAATCGAAAAAATCAGCAATTTTTCCATTTGTAACGGGGCACAACCCTAGAGCACTAACTATATTAAACAAAGGACACACATGGATTCATGACAAAATTGTGTTTTGGGGATGGTGATGTGTTTGTAGATCTTACTTCACTGAACATTCTTGCTGCTTTCAATTATCTCTATCTATAATGAACTTTCAGTTTCAGAGGCAAATATTTTGTAATAATTTTAAAAAATTTACAACATTTATGAAAATTAAGAAGGTCCAGTAACAACAACACTTTACGGAATGCTCCAGTAATTTATTGAGATGGACATGTTTCGGTGGCTAGGCCACCGTCATCAGGATAGAAAACAATACATAAAATCATGCTGAGGTACAAAATCGGGTTGAGAAAATTAAAACGTCACAATGTTGCTATGGTGAGTAACGTTATAAATAGCAATTGAAAGAGAAAGTGAAAGTAAGTATATATGGAAGTGAACTATTAGAATAAAATAAAATAAAATAAAAATACAATGTTTTTGTTGTTAAAATGTTTGTTAAAATTGTTCTGCCATCATGTGTTAGCATTCTTGCACAGTGGAACGAATTATACAATAAATTATTGTCAGTTGCGTTCTGTGTAAATTTTGTGTTCAATTAACGTTATTTCCAAATATAGACGACATTTCACTGGCAATTCCTTACCATTTCGACTGACTTCCCTTGGCCAGAGGTACTACTCCAAATCGCGTCGGGAATGCTGTAAAGTGTTTGACGGCCAAAGGTATAGGGAAAATTAAATAAAAGGATATCGCTGGTCTATGGTCTACATTTTATGTTTTTATTGTAACGACCCTGCATACCTGAGGTATCCACTTTATAGAATCTACTGACAGAAGATTTACCAGGCGTTGGTTCACTTGTGTTTTAATTTTTTCAATTTTGATCGTTGAACCCCTGCATCCTTCGGGAACCGCCGTTGCAACCTGCGCTAATCTTGTTAGCCATCCGCACGTAGTAAAACAAACAATTATATCATTGAGGCACCAACAGGAACCGGCCTTCCTAAAATGCTATCAGGCATTCAACAGGCGCAAAGAAAGTAAATTATGATGAGCCATCTCAACCAATAACGAGTTCAAAGGAGGAAAAGAACTGTGATAAGACTATTTTTCTCTTACAGAATTAATTGGCAATTATAGACTTCTTATTATGAAATTCACTTTTAAGTAAGTTCCAGAAAATACGTTAATCATACATACTACCAACTTTACCAGATTACAAGATTACCAGCCACTTCCGATAGTTTAATGGAGGAACACAACATTTACATTCACCATAGACCAGTGATATCATTTTATTTAATTTTCCCTATACCTTCAGCCGTCAAACACTTTACAGCATTCCCGACGCGATTGGGAGTAGTACCTCTGGCCAAGGGAAGCCAGTCGAAATGGTACGGAATTGCCAGTAAAATGTCGTCTATATTTGGAAATAACGTTAATTGAACACAAAATTTACACATAACACAACTGACAATAATTTATTGTATAATTCGTTCCACTGTGCAAGAATGCTAACACATGATGGCAGAACAATTTTAACAAACATTTTAACAATAAACACATTGTATTTTTATTTTATTTTATTTTATTCTAATAGTTCACTTCCATATATACTTACTTTCACTTTCTCTTTCAATTGCTATTTATAACGTTACTTACCATAGCAACATTGTGACGTTTTAATTTTCTCAACCCGATTTTGTACCTCAGCATGATTTTATGTATTGTTTTCTATCCTGATGACGGTGGCCTAGCCACCGAAACATGTCCATCTCAATAAATTACTGGAGCATTCCGTAAAGTGTTGTTGTTACTGGACCTTCTACATTTTATGTTTTTATTGTAACGACCCTGCATACCTGAGGTATCCACTTTATGGAATCTACTGACAGAAGATTTACCAGGCGTTGGTTCACTTGTGTTTTAATTTTTTTAATTTATGAAAATTGTTAAAAATTGACTATAAAGGGCAATAACTCCTAAAGGGGTCAATTGACAATTTTGTAAATGCAAACCTATTTGTAGATCTTACTTTGCTGTACATTATTGCTGTTTACAGTTTATCTCTATCTATAATAATATTCAAGATAATAACCAAAAACGGCAAAATTTCCTTAAAATTACCAATTCAGGGGCAGCAACCAAACAACGGGTCTCCCTTTGGGCCAGGTGATCTAAAAATGACTCAACCTAAATTCAAACTTGATCTTGGTTTTATGGTTAAAAGTATTGTATATAAGTTTCATAACATTTGGTTGAGCGAACTAAAGTAAGATAACGGAAACGAAAAAATTCAGCAATTTTTACATTTGTAAAGGGGCATAACTATAGAACAGTATAACTGACGCCACCAAAATTCAAATTTGATCAGTGTTTGGTGTAATGAGCATTGTGTGTAAGTTTCATAACATTTGGTCAAGACAAAGTAAGAGAACAGGAACTAAAAATTCCAGCAACTTTTCTATTTGTAAAGGAGCATATATAACTCTAGAATGGTAAAAGTGACGCCACCAAAATTCAAACTTGACTTTTGTTTTGTGGTAATAAGCATTGCGTACAAGTTTCATACAAACAGGCAAACTCAAGTAAGAGAACAGAAATCAATTTTGGGATTTACGGACGTACGTACAAGTAAGGGACGTATATACTTACAGAAGAACAAGAATAAAACTCAATACGGTAAAATGTTCATTCATGAATGAAACGCTGTCTCGCGTAGATTTCTTTTGATTTTCTCTTCAGTGCATGGCAGATCCGTGAAGTAGTGTTTGTGATACTCATTTTCAAAATGAAGTTAAATTCATCTGAATTGTCGGTGAACATTAATTCCTGTTTCATTCAAGCTGTAAACTTTTCAAAAGAGTAGAAACTCAAAATTTCAAAAGCATCTTCCTAGAATCAGTATTCAAACACTAGTACTACATTATCTTGGAGCAGAACATTTGCGATAGTCTGTCACCGGAAGTTTGAGGCCGACGCCTTAGAAAAGTAGCTATAGCAAGCTTTAGCAAACTTTCCAAAAACAGGAATATCTTTCTTATGGCAATGTCATCAAAACAACTGAGAATATTATTTATTTGAACATACTATGGTTTTATTACAGAATTACTTTTTGAGAGATATGGACATCCTGTATGGTTTGGCCATTGATGCATGGTGATTTCTACATCTCATTTACAGTGAACTAGTTTTGTACAATCTTCTCATCGGTGAATATCCACATCTCATTTCTATCTATAGAATACTGAAGTAGATGTAAAGATATATACATTGAATGGTACAACAAGACTATTACCCTTGTTCTTTGTACAGACCATATATTGGGCACTGGATCATGGTCATTGGCATTCAAAATTAAATTAATAAACTTCCTTGTGAATAGAAAGCAAAGAGAGTACCTGTCAGTGAATCTAATCCAGTTTTGGTCCATGATTGTCTCTCAATACTGGTCACCATCTCATCACACTGTGTCAGTTGGTATGAAGTATATACATTTCTGGTACCAGTCATGAAGTTAATATCTGTACAACATTCTACACTGTGACAATCACTAGACATTTTGCATCCAGGTAAGGATGACATTGGAACTGGTACATCTGTACAACCTAAATATATGAACTTTAGTATCTATGAACCTGAACTCATTATTTGGTTTTCTGCATATTGATAATAAAATAAAATTGTGACAGAGTGCATCAAATAAGTTCAACAAGATTCATATTGTGTTGAGAAGCTGATATTTTACAATAAACCTTTTAAGCATAATCTCATTATATATATCATAGGATTAAACACATTCTTCATACATAATTGGGAATTGTGAAAATTAAGTACCAACCATTTAGAAAGTTTCCACTATATGCTGTACACTGGGAAGGTTTCCAAAACTCAAATGCCAATCCTGAAACACATGCAAAACTTTTAGGATAAAAAAATGTAACTCAAATGCAAATAAAAATTTGATGATACAAAAATAAGTGTACTTTGTAACAGCTACCCAGTCTTGTAAAACTTTACTGTCTATAGTCAACCTTAAATTTGCACTGTCTTAAATTTACAAAACATTAATTTTTTGTTCCAAATGAATAAGTTGACTTACATATATATGTATGCTGAAAAAATAGTGTTTTATTATCAGCATTTAACAAGAAGATCATTTATCATAGTCTATTACAGATACTTAGTAACCATCATATCAGCTTGATTATCTTATATAATTCTGCATAATTGTAAAGAGATCTATTAAGTTGATTTTACTTTCACTGTTTTTCAAAACAATAATAAATGTAAACACCATTCATTGAGGAGGAGTATTACTTCAAAAATGGTTATATTTTCAGGATGCATAGCATCATTCATTTATAAAAACAGCTTTAAAATTTACCTCCAAATGGAACACTATTAACATTACTACAGTCAGAGTACAAGAAATCAGCATTGGTTAGAACTGTATATTCTTTCAGACAATTGTCCTTTGCATCAAAACACAGCTTAATACTTATATCCACCAAGAACTTTCTCTCTGAAGGAATGTTGTATATACTAAACCTAAAAAAAAACATCAAAGCTTTTTTACTTACTTACAACACATTATGAAGCCAAATAAAAAAAAAAAATGTTAAAAACGGATAGAAAACATTTTCATTTATTCCTTTAAAATATCTACTGTGTATTCCTATGACTTTTGCAAGACTTTCAATGAAAATATTAAATAGCTACATGACATAATGTCTAACTGAGGAAATTATTCATATATTTCAATAGAAGTACAAACCTTAAAAATTTGCTCACAAAAGCTTGAAGCTCTGGTGTTAATTCGTCTATATATATGTTTGCACTTATGTTGTCAAGTCTCCACAAAAATTTTACATGCAGAAGTTTTTGAAAATGATGCAAAATAGTAAACTCAATCCAAAGGAAAAATATTTGTGCTTCGAAAAAAAGTTACAGGTATTATTACAAGTCTATTTGTACTGTTTGTTGTTGGTTGCTGTTGGTCATATTTGTTTTTCTTGACTTGATTTGTCATAAATCAGGCCATTTTCTTGATTGAATTGTTTCATATCTTATCATGCCATGGGCCTTATAGCTGACTATTTAGTATGAGTTGTGCTCATTGTGGAAGATTGTATGGACACCTATAATTACTTATATCTACATCATTCAGTCTCTGGTGGATAGTTGTCTCATTGGCAATCATACCACATCTCCTTATTTTTATAACACACAATGGAGACACTTAATGCCCTTGTCACACTACCACAAGATACTGGTTTGAAAAACTATTTTAATTCTTGGACTGACCTGATCTGGAACACCCCATGAAGTGTTATGACTTCACTTTTACCTAGAATAAAAATTTAAGAAAAAATTTATTATTTGCACAATTGTAAAACAGTATAATCTAATATAACATCTGGATACTGAATACACATATTTAAACTGACTAATTTTATGTGGAGAGGCAGTATCACTATATCAATATATTTCATTTCGTTGGAAATTGAGTTTTTCACGTTTGCTATTTGTAGTACTTATATATAGATGGGAACTAGTATAACTAGTTCTGCAACAGTACTTACTATCTATAAAGTTTGATGTTAGGTGCATAAGGCACAAGAAAAGTTTTGGCGGTTTCTACAGGTGGGGTTTTATGCTACTTTATAAAGTTTGGAATTTAAATGTATTAGTATGGAAGGTGCTGGCAGTTACGTCGAATCGAAGTTAGTCACATTAGTATTTATACAGTTGCTGCTATGTTTATTACATGTATCCATATGTTGTTTGAAATTAGGTAAAATAAAATATTGTATCGCAAGAGAATATAATATGTTACTGCGAGCAACTAATCCTATTTCTGTGTTTGTCTTGTTTATAGCCAATTGAATTTAGAGTAGAAATACTTTAATTTCGGACAAGCAGGGCGAGGGAGAATTTAACAAAATTTATCCCATATTCTATGCATTATCAGAATATCACATGTCAGTAAATATATGAGTAAGTCCAGTTAAACAGAATTGGCTTCAATGCAGTGAAACTTGCATAATCAAAACCCTGTATCCAGAACCCCAAACACTTAAGTACCAGAATGAAAAGTGATTTTATTAAGTAATTGTGCAAACTGAGCACCTGTTTCCAAAAACACAACTGCTTCAGTCCAGTTTAGATGCATTGTACTTACTAAACCAAATGTTTAATGAAAAGTCATAGAACATAAAAATCAGCAAGAGTGAAATGACTCTGTCCTGATAAACAATGAAACTAACCCCATTGATAGTTCAATAGATTAATTTCATGGTGTAGATTTTCTATCCTCACAGCTAGTTTATATGTACAGGTATCCAGTTTAAGACTGGTCTGTAGAGATCTTTTTAGAATATCAACATGCACACAACAAGATACTTCCGACTTAGTTGGTGATAAATAACAGGTTATCTCTTCAGGTAAGGATGGTTGAGTCACATTACGGAAAGAAGTCTCTAAAAAAGAAAAAAAACAATATTTAAATCTCAACATGAATTATACAATATATCTGTACTAGTAGCTCTTAAAGAATAATTCAAAAGATGGTAGAATCTCATTACAAAATTCCTGTAAATTTGATGTAAAAATTGACTTTGAAACTAAAAACAAATAAACTTTTAACACAGAGATATGTCTCGCCTATTTGTTATTTTGATAATGCAAATGTTGAAATTAAAATTACAATACTTTAACATGCAAATTATGCAAATATTCAAAGTCAATGAACCATGACTGAATGTACAGGACTAAACAGTCTCCATGGAAATGAGATGTGCCAATGCTAATACAACTGCAAACCAAATACCATTGACTTTTCAAAAGTCGTTCCCTTTAAACAAACCTAAACACAAACATTAACTTGTAAACTATGTAAAAGTTTCAAAGTCAATGAACCATAATTAGGGGGTGGGGTTATATAATCTCCATGGAAATGAAACTTGCAAATGCCAATACATTTGCATACCGAATATCATTGACTTAACATTAGTGGTTCATCTTAAACTGACCTTATCACAAACTAATACATGAAAACTAAGCAAAAGTTTCAAAGTCAATAGACCATGACTGAGAAGTAAGGACCAAATATTCTCCATGGAAATAAGATGTGCTAATGCTTCTACAACTGCATACCAATTATCATTGACCTACCACTAACGGTTCCCCTTAAACTGACCTAATCACAAACTAATACATGTAAACTAAGCAAAAGTTTTAAAGTCAATAGATCATGACTGAGGGGGCAGGGCCAAATAATCTCCATGGAAATGAGATATACCAATGCTTATACAACTGCATACCAAATATCATTGACCTACCACTAGTGGTTCCCCATAAACTGACCTAATAACAAACTTATACATGTAAACTAAGCAAAGTTTCAAAGTCAATAGACCTTGACTGAGGGGATGGGGCCAAATAATCTCCATGGTAATGAGATGTGCCAATGCTAACACAACTGCACACCAAATATCATTGACCTACCACTAACGGTTCCCCATAAACTGACCTAATCACAAACTAATACATGTAAACTAAGCAAAGTTTTAAAGTCAATAGATCATGACTGAGGGGGCAGGGCCAAATAATCTCCATGAAAATGAGATATACCAATGCTTATACAACTGCATACCAAATATCATTGACCTACCACTAGTGGTTCCCCATAAACTGACCTAATCACAAACTAATACATGTAAACTAAGCAAAGTTTCAAAGTCAATAGACCTTGACTGAGGGGATGGGGCCAAATAATCTCCATGGTAATGAGATGTGCCAATGCTAACACAACTGCACACCAAATATCATTAACCTACCATTAGTGGTTCCCCATAAACTGACCTAATCACAAACTAATACATGTAAACTAAGCAAAGTTTCAAAGTCAATAGACCTTGACTGAGGGGGTGGGGCCAAATAATCTCCATGGTAATGAGATGTGCCAATGTTAATACAACTGCATACCAAATATCATTGACCTACCACTAGTGGTTCACCATGAACTAGACCTAATCACAAACTGATACATTGTTGACGCCGCTGCCGACGCCGGAAAAAGCATACCTATGTCTCGCTTTTTGACTCTGTCAAGGCGAGACAAAAATTGGGTTATACAAAAAATTGGGTTATACAATCAGAATTAAATCATTCAAGTGTTCACAAATTTTCTTGCAGGTTGTCTGCAAATCATCTTATTTGTTAACTGAAACATGTACACCTAACATATTCTCCCTAACTGTCCTACACACAGAAAAAAACCCCAATTGAAGCCTCCAAGATCGTTAGGCCTGATCATAACAAACTCATGTCATCAACTGGAAATCATTAACTTTACCATTTTGAATTAATTAAAGGGGCATAACCCTGGAAAGTAAAAAACAATCACAAAGAACATCAAATTTGCACAGAATTTCATAGTACAAATCAATTTAAAAAAAAAATATAACTTCTAACTCAAAACAAGCTAACTTTATTTTGTATGCAGGTCAAGGCATATAACTTTGAAAAGTAATTGAAGCAATAGTCATAATCAAACCTGACTAGTACTTCTTTCTAGCTTAAATTTGGTTTGAAGTAGGACATTCCATTAGGAAAAGATCCTACTTCACATTAATCATCAAGACACTGTTTTTACCATAATGAAACACTTCAAGGGGGAATTATTTACACAGTAAATGAAACAACAATGAAAACCTAACTTAGCCTGCATTTAGTACTGGTAGTAAAATGCAAATTAAAAGGTCCTTCTCCAAACCAAACTTCAATTATCATCATGGCAGAAATAGTTTTTACCCTTTTGAGAAACTTCTTTACATTTGTAGGTAGTAATGCTGCAAAGTGAAAAGGTCCTACCCCAAAACTAAACTTACGTATCATCTGGAAGACATATAAAGTGGTCAATATATTTTCCCTGAAATGTTTCCTTGAAGCAAATATTAGGTATTGAAACAAAAAATGCTCTGATGAAACTATGATCAATCTAATATGTTCACATTAATTATGTTTTGTTTTTACTTGAGGAATACTGACTTCATATCACAGGTATGACTAATCTAATAAATGACATTGAAAACTCTAAAACATCTAGATTTTGAAATTTTGCAGGAAAATTAGAAAATGTATTCTTCATCAACACTTACCATTATTAAGTACAACTTCAGTGTTAAGGTAAGGAGACACTGTCAAGTCACACTTGTCTGAGAAATCCATGTAATCAGATAATCCTAAATCCATTATCAGGTCATTGGCAACTTTATCTGATACACTTGAATTTTTGTTTAATCCTTTTTCTCCTAACCAATGGTTTAAAGAAAACTCTGAAAACAGTAAAGATACTCAATTTCTTTTAGATTAATATATATATTTAGTTTCAATCAAGTTCTTCAGTACAGTCTATTCTTTGATTAATGTGTTTAAACAAGAGGCTCTCAAGAGCCTGAATCGCTCACCTGTTATTTTTTTTGCTTAAATCTTTCATCAATGATTATTTTTGCTTTTTACCCATATGTTCCATTTTAGCCATAGTGTCTATGTTTCTTGACATACAAGGAAATGAAATACAAAATTTATACTAGATTCATTTGAGAAGATTTTTAAAGTTAAAATACATAAAACAACTTGTGTAAAATTGTCCTTAAAGGGCAATAACTCCTTAAAGGGTCAATTGACAATTTTGGTCATATAAAAACTTTTTTGTAGATCTTACTTTGCTGAACATTTTTGCTGTTTACAGTTTATCTTTATCTTCAATAATATTCAAGATAATAACCAAAAACTGCAAAATTTCCTTAAAACAACCAATTTAGTGGCAGCAACCCAACAATGGGTTGTTCGGTGTGTCTGAAAATTTCAGTCCTGATAGATCTTGACCTTTTGAACATTTTTACCCCATGTCAAATTTGCTCTAAATGCTTTAGTTTCTGAGATATAAGCCAAAAAACTGCATTTCCCCCCGTTGTTCTATTTTTAGCCATGGCGGCCATGTTTGTTGATGGATTAAAATTTCGGATACAATTTATAAACTATATATCCTAAGGGACATTTAGATGCAGTTTGAAGGTATTTGGCCCAGTAGTTTCAGAGGAGAAGATTTTTAAATGTTAGTAAACTTGATGAACAAATTGTGTAAAATTGTCTTTAAAGGGCAAGAACTCCTTAAGGGGTCAATTGACAATTTTGGTCATATAAAACTTTTTTGTAGATCTTACTTTGCTGAACATTATTGCTGTTTACAGTTTATATCTATCTATAATAATATTCAAGATAATAACAAAAAACTGCAAAATTTCCTTAAAACTACCAATTTAGTGGCAGCAACCCAACAATGAGTTGTTCGATTCGTCTGAAAATTTCAGGGCTGATAGATCTTGACCAATTGAAAATTTTACCCCATGTCAGATTTGCTCTAAAAGCTTTAGTTTTTGAGATATAAGCAAAAAACTGCATTTGACCCCTATGTTCTATTTTTAGCCATGGCGGCCATGTTTGTCGATGGATCAAAACTTCGGATACAATTTATAAACTAGATACCCATTTAGTTAAAGTTTGAAGGTATTTGGCCCAGTAGTTTCAGAGGAGAAGATTTTTGAAATAGTTAACGACGACAGACGACGATGGACGCCAAGCGATGGCATAAGCTCACATGGGGCCCTTCGGGCCCCGGTGAGCTTAAAACCTTTCTTCAACATGTTGACTATCTCAATACATTCATTAAAATATGCAAAAACATTTATAGTTCTCTGTGCTCAATGTTCTCTCATAAGAACTTGAAATGTAGCTTGCTATTGACCAATTTATAAAGAATACCTAATGAAAAAAACTTTCTTGGGGATACAAATTCTCTTTATCTTTTTTTAGAAGAAGTTATTATGTCCCTACATAATATTCTTAAATTCCATGGTCATTTAAAAAGGTTTTTGAAAATATGAAAATACAGTTGTGGAACTGTGTACCTGCTTCTCACAAACAATTATAAAATGTAATATTTCACCTGATAAAGGAAAACATTTCCAAGTTATCAATATCATATACATCAACGTGATTGAATGTTATACAAAAGAAGTGATTTCAATTTTCACATTGTGAACTTTCCACTTCTGTATAGTAACAATCAAGTAAGTTCCTGGCATATGGAGTGTATATCTCCCAGTAAATACAACAGTATTGCAGGGCTGGCTTTTCCTATCATGATTTCCTTGATAGAGGGTTGCTGCTAACAACTAGACTTTTAACCAAGGATCCACAATGGTCAAATCAAAGATATTCCTTGGGAAGTTTTATGGACACCATCTTAATTTGGTTGACTGTTATGACCAATGCTATGTTCAACTTGCTGTATTCCGCATGGCCCTGGTTGAACAATAACTGCTTACCCTTTTTGAACACCTGAGTTTACCTCCCTGATTAAGGGTGGGGGTTTATGGGTTCAATCTTTAGTTTTTTCTGTAGTCTTTTTGGATTGATGCTTGTTTTTTGTTGTTATCTCTCTATTTGGTCGTGGTATTTTTCTTCTACTTTTGGTTTTTATTGCACTGTTGGTATCTTCTTCCTCTTTTTTTAAAACAAAGACTTGAAATCATTTTGTTTAAATTCTTTTTACATCCAATAGTAGTACAAGTATGCATTCCTTCTTACAGTTATATTATTCATCATGTATCATATTTTGATAAATCATGTAATATTTCAGTGCAATTACAGTAATATTCAAGGTTTAAAATAAATAGACACACCTGAATTAAGAAATCCTGAAGTTAGTTCGCAGGTACTACCATTAATAACTGTATCTGACCACAGCTGTACATTATAATCACATGGAAGTGTATCACTGTAGCATACTGAGATATTCAGATCTACTCCATACTGGTTCTCTTTCTCTAATGCATTTATTTCATACCTAGAGAAAGGTCAGAATATTTTTCAACTGCTTCTTTGATTGCTGCATATTTACATGTAATTTTTTTTCTTCAATATAAAGTTGGGATAAACCCAATCACATTTTGTGCCTGTCAGACAATCTGGACCATGAGTTCTTGGTTGTTTTTTGTCTTGGTTTGATCAATGTATTTGAGGATCTGGTTTTTGGTGGTTGGTTTCCACTGTTGTATTGTCAAATGTTGTTAGTAATAACCTTCATCCTTGTTGTGTATAATTTTTTATTTGACATGAACAAGAGCACCCTAATCCAAATAATTAGAGTTACAGTTTTCTAAATTTGTTTTGTTTCTTTATTGACTTCTAACTACTGATGATTGCAAAGTAATGATGTCATCCTTTTATAACAGCAATAATTGGCATTTAGCTGGAAGAAATTGAACCATGTCATTTGGTCTTAATCATGGTCAGATTTAGTTGAAGAGCATTGCCCTTATTGTTTTGAAATGCACACTGAGATAAAAAGCCACTCTTCATGCATTTTTTTTTTCTAATATAAAAATCCTATTTCCATAAAAATTTACCCAGTGTTTCTAATAGATTTCAATCATTGGCAAAAAAATAAAATAATTATCTTTGCAAATGACAAGCTTAAAAGACAAGAAATACAATCATAACACTATTGGTTGCTGCACTATGTAGATTTTTATGGTGTGTTCTAGTTTTAAGACATATAGTTTAGATTTACAGATGGAGGGTTTAGTACATGGATAACTGATTTAACCCTTTCAAATTTTGTTCCTGTACCAAGCCAGATTATCTGGACAGAGTTTTGTTCATTGTTGTTTAACTTTGTTTGAATTACTGCTTTTTGGCAGAGTCAGGTGTTGGTGGCTGATTTGGTCTGTAGTGCCGTGCTCTATTTTTAGCCATGGTTTCCTGTTAGCCCTTTTTATATGTTACACATTAGTACTTACATGACCTTTACAATACCAAACAGAGAAAATGTATGATTCTTATCTGAAAAAAAATTAAAAAATAAAACGATAAAACACATAAATATGCATTATTGATTCGTTTGTTTTATTTCATTTCTATCAGATTTGGAACTTTTTCAAATTAATTCTTTTTTCTATGACAGGTGACATGAACCCATACAGTTGTCAACATTTCAGTTTCTGCACTACATCTCTCAAACCATATATCACGGTCACTTTTTGAATCATACAACAACCTTTTTAACCTTAAACACTATAACCCCCTCCCCTGGGGTATAAATATAAACTTTACCTACCAAATTCAAATCTATTTAGTTTGATCTTTGTTGTTTGCTGTCCAATCTTTAACTGTAATGTATTTCTACAATTTTCTATTCTAAGAACAACTTCTACAGACTTGTTAATTCTAAGCAGATAAACACAGCATTCTATACCATTACAAGAGGATGGCATTGAACAAGACAACCAGTCAGGTAGATCTGGTACTGAGAAACTACAATCTGTAAAATACAATCAGCTATGTTCACACTTGTCTTAGCAGTTTGAAGAAGTCAACACAGCATTCTATATAATTAATGGCTGATGAAAAAAAAACAAAACAGTAAGACAGGTAGGTATGTGTTAAACTAGATATGTATCTGACCTAAGCTTGAAGTTTTTGTGTCCCAATTCTATAGTTTTGCATCAGTTGTAAACATGATCAACATATCCAATAAATAATTTATTAGCATATCAAACCTGAACTTGTATCTTTTTGCAAAGTAGAGCAAGCACTGTCTGACAAAAATCTGGATACTGCCCACATTTGCATAAGCTGGAGAACTGCCCATTGTGGTAACGGATCATCATTTGATGACAGATCATTCTCAGTTATCCAATTATCCATACTAAAGTCTGAAAAATAAACAAACCTTCATAAAGTTACACATTAGTAAGTCATCAATATACTGTAAATTCATAAATCATTGCATCCATTTATCATTGCGATTTCCACATAAAGACCGGATTTGTGAGAATAATTATTACAATTACAGGAAATGCTGCACACAAATATATGTGTCAGATATCAGAATGCAAGTTCTTTTCATTGCAATACTCACCCAGTCGCATTATTCGCTATAATAAATATCTCTCAATAATTTCTGAATTTACACCTGTGACTATAAGTAGTCAAAATTATTATAAACGTCACCTTTATTCAGTGAAAACCTGTCTTGTCAAGCTGTACTCTTATTGTCCCACTGTAGAAATACCTACAAGTATTGAACCTAAATTCAATGATCAGCGACTCTTTTCTCAAAAAATCTTACGATTAAAATTGATCATAAGTTATACTGAAATGTGTATGATCTACAAGTATTTTTGCTCTTAAGATTTTTTTGTGAAAAAAGCCACAGGTCCTTACAAGGCTAGTTTTCTTTGGTCCTAAGGATGACCTTTTTATGCAGGTTTTGTGTACTGTGAAATTTCATGCCAATCAAAAAATTGGAACTATTAAGATACAATGATAATTCAGCACCAAAGGAGTAGGCCCGGTAAGACCCTTTTTTGGCCTTAAAATATAGCATTTTTACAAAGTTTTTACAAATGTAAACCTTTAGCTTTTTATTGGAAAGTAGAATACTTTTGTACCATAAATATGGGCAGTTTTTGATAATACAATGGACATGCATCAGGCACTAGCATCATTATTTCATGCAAAAATACTTAAATCTTTACAATTTTAGCATTTGTGCTAGTTTTAAGATGTTTTGTCTAAAATGGAAGTGGTCTCACTAGTGTTCAGTCTTAATATTAAAAAATATGTTGTTTTTAACGATAATACATAACTTATATAAATGTTGAGATTGAACAAGAATGTGGCCACTTCCATTTAAGACAAAAACTATCTGAAAAGTGACGTTTAATGGGATACTTGATAGATTTTTCATATTTAGGCTTGCATATGAGGTTTTTAATGACCAAATCAGTTCAAATCTTTAACATAAACTAATTGAATCGACTGGAAGTAGACAACTTAAGTGTTTACAAAATGTCCAAAATCTTTTATCAGATGTACTTTAAATTTTAGGCCGAAATTAGCCCTTACCACACCTTCTCCTTTGTAAGATAACGATGATGAAATTGCTGTTAAACATCCAGTGTTAAATATAACATGCATACCAGAACAAGAACATGTTGAAGTAACATATATCTGGTTTAATTTTTCAGGATTAGGGCTATTCCTCAGTAACTTTATTTCAGTTCAACAATATGAAAAGAATAACTAGCGAGAAAGAAGGCAAGCAAGAATTTAAAAAGAAAAACTCAGATATAAAGGTAATTCTTTTCCAGTACAATTGTTACATACCTTTTACAGGGAAATTGATATTCCAATCACACACAGATTTGGGCAGCTTGTAATCCTTAAACACTACAATGGACTGGAAACAAGGTATGGATACATCTGCATCAAGACAAGCTTTCAATGTCATGTCTACCAGAAAGTTTCCTTCCGATTCCAAGTTATTCACTGTTAGCCTGGAAAATAAAATGTCCATTCAAAATGTACATATTTTAAATGGGAAAAATGAAATAACAAGACTGTGGTGACATACTTTGTTGGAGCATTATTTCATTGGTATTCATACAATATCTTCTTGTTTCTATATATATATTGTTCACAGATGGTTTTTTTTCAGCCACAAGTTACTTCAATTCTAAATTGAGAAAAAATCTTAAATATTAATTTCATTGAAAAATTTCTGCATAGTCTGATATGATTTAGACAGAGAATTACATATTTTGGATAATGCAAGCATGGGAAAGAATCCCCTTGTCATTCTTAAATAAGTGCAGGATATTTGAAAAATTTTCAAACCTAAGTCCTTTAACTCTGGAAAACACGTCCCAAATTATTTCCAAAATCAAATGGGAGTATACATCATCAATTCAATGATCCATACAAGTTTCATGACAATTGATTATAGCATTCTATTGATTTTTTTCAACATATAGACAAATGGACAAACAACAGTATACCATACTATGTTCCATCTTAGAAAGACAAATAAAAAAGCTCAACCCAAACAAAATTGATATCTAATCTGTAACTTCTTTTGATATGACTGTACAAATACATGTAAATACCAAATATCTAACTGTTTCTGGAATTAGTAATGAAATTTTTTTTCAAGCAAATTTCTATGTCCTACTGTCCAAAAACTTCAGCAAAAATCACTCAGCCAGAACGAAATTTATAATTGATCTGTAACTTCCAATATTTGGGGTCAGTATGCATAATTCATTTCCCATAGGTGGTAATGGTAACATTTTCTTCTGTAGCTCAGTCCATATCATAAACTTGGATATGTATGATGGCTCGTTTTGAAGCTGAGACATTTTTACATATGTGGTTAAATTTTCCGGCTACGAAGTGAGATTCATTTTCCGTAAATTAGCACAACCCGAAAATCCTTTCGTGATGTGGCTCCTCGAGGTAAAAAATCCCTTTTTTCACACAATAAGTTCTTTGAAAATTTAGTACTTTGCATAAATTAAATAACTCCATAGTTTTTACACATTTATTCTATGGTCTTCTTCTTTCCAAATCATCACAAATGGTTAAGCTCAGTCACTTGTTAAAAATAGAAACATGTCCAATATCACTACACAGAGATTTTTTGTTTACGTACAACTTCTGTGTTCCTCATTTTGAGGCGCATTAGAGATATTGACCCACTTAATCAATAGACTGAAGCATTACAGAGTAAAATATGGAACATACTAAAACTTAGAAGGACAGTCAGATTGCAACCTTTAGTTCTCTCACTTCCGCTTTACTGATATGGTATTAAAAAGACGTCTGAGCTAGCGTTAACTTTCTATTCTAGTATCTTTCTTAATTTTAAAACTTAGGAAACATTACAAACTTACTCCAGTCTAAGCAGGCCAAACAGCCACATTTCCACTGGTGCCCCCCACTGGAAATCTAACAGATTTTTCTGCATTGTAATTTTTTCTATTGAAACTGTCAGTAGTGATCTACACGAATCAATCTCAACAGAGGCTTGGAATGATTGTCCTATCTTGTCCACACTAAAACAACAGGACACTGAGGTACAGGTCTCTTGAATATGACAGACAGTTGTCCCTGGTAACAGTGAAAGGTCTGAGGTCAAAGTATCACAATCTGAAAAGGCAATTGAAAATGCAAACTTTAGTATAATACAATCGTATCTGCTTTATAAAGAACAATTTTTTAATCCACTTATGGTAAATTGTAAACCTGTCTCCTAAAACTTTCAATTCTAAAATTTTCCTTTCTTCATGAGAATAGCAGAAATCAATTTATGGTTGCTAGTCTTGGATATTGGTCAAAGAAACCAAAAATTATAAATCTGACATAGCAATATTATAAAACCCAAATAATTGTAAAAGGGATCATGAAATAATGTAAGATCATAATTTAGATTATTTTGCATTTTTCTAAATCCTGTATTAAATATTGTCAATATGTTTAAAATCTATCATTATGTAAGTTGTTGCATATATTATTTCAGACAGATGCAATTTAAATCAGGAGTCTGCAAGAAGTATTATAGTATCATTACTATTAGTCCATCCACTACCAGGATATGGTGCTTTCCCAGAACTACATGGGACTTTGTTTATAAAATCTGTCACTCCTAATTTATCCATTAAATCCTTTCTCTGGTAATCTGTTAAACTATCTCCATCATGTAAATCATATTCATCTTTTTTAAACTTCAAAAGGGAGAATTCTAAAACAAAATGTATATAAAAATGATATTGTTTTGGTTGATTCTATTTTACTAGATATTTCTAATTAATATTGGGTTATTGCATAAAAATTTAGTGAATACTGTCTGGAGTGAATTTTTATATTGTACACGCCCATGTAATTACTAATATTCATGCAATAACCTCTATATTATAATGCTCGACAAACTGCTTAAAATAAATTTTTTTCACTGATGATTTCACTAATTTGGAGCCGTTTTTTTTTTTTTGCACTAGTGCAATATGATATATTATTAAATGATATGAACAAATCAGCCCTAATACGGATAAATCATCATGTGCAATACTAGTGATCTATCGTGAATGCGAAAAGACAAGTTCAGATATGAATTTCTGAATCTTCTTCATGGTAAGTTTCTTAGTTTAATCGAAGAATTAAAATCATTTAATAAAAGTGTTATAAACTGGCTGTTTCTGTATTGGCCCTGTTATAGATTCTCAATCAGCTGTATTGGCCCTCGACTCTAGAGTCTCGGGTCCAATACAGCTAACCATGAATCTATAACAGGGCCAATACAGAAACAGCCAGTTAATAACACTATATTATTGCACGTTAATTTTTGATTTTTTTCTTAAGAAATATGGTGTAGCTATACAATTATTCAAATAGCACCCATTGATTATACAATAACAAAAGGTTATTGAATATATATTGGAAAATCTTGTCCAAAGTAGATATGTATATTGCACTAGCTGGCAAGTGCACTATGTATTCTACGATGGATAATGATAATACTGACCAATATTTATACAATAACCCTGTTATTGTATAGAAAAGATTGAAAAACAGTTTAAAACATATTTTTGTCACTGATGACATCAAATTTAAAGCTATATTTGCACTAGCGCAATATCATAGAATATTGCATGTTTACTCTTCGTTACATTCTGTTTGAAATTTTATGTATTACTACAAAAATATAACAGAAATCACATTATATTTGATTAATTTATAGTATATAACTTTTTTTTACACACATATTAATAACACTTCAAAATACCATTTTTATCAATAACTATGGAAACTTTATATGTCCCGATTTCTACAGGAATGTCTTCAAAACAATCATTTATAAACATGTACCTGGATCTATGAAATTACTTTTCCAGTCACAGACAGACTTAGGTAGAATGGTATTAGTGAGTACAGGGATACTGATTGTACAAGGTCCTGTTGCTTCAAAACAAACACTCAGATGCAGATTGACAACATACTGTCTCTTGTATCTCAGGTCATCTATGTCATAGCTATAAATAAGAAAAACATATGAAAGGTTTTAAAATATTAAACACATATATCTATATATAATTCCAATAAAGTCATATAAAAATTACTTCCCAATCTTGTGTAGTCAATTAAAAATATCAAACCAGCTGAAAATACCTACTGTTGTTAGCCACACAATCTGACTTGATAGCAAAAGCATAACATCTATATACATGTAAATTATTTCATTAAATCATTTCTTAATTAACGGCTTCTTCAAAGTAGGTTCATGTATATATCTCAAGTTCAGAATATTGTCCCTGTTTGTCTTTTGTTACATCTAAATGATTTTCTGTCTTTTTAGGAAAATATTTTTATGGCAGGTCTGTGATAGATGAAAATATGATGATGATGATCTCTACATCGTTAAAAAAGTCTAAATTATTTTACAAGAGCAAAGATAATTCCACACATTGTCAGAGGTAAAACTTTTAAGTGTTGGGTTTTAAACTAATTTTAGAAGTCTATGATATAAAAAATATTATTTTTCAATTATGTACTGACTTTGGCCAAAAGATGTCCTTGTTTGACAAATAATTTAACAAAACCACCTCTTAACATTCCTACTTACATTAACAGGGTCTACTGAATACTAATTTCTTTGAAATGAAAATTTATGCAATGGACTTCAGGCTTTACACAATATAATTGCATTGCAACATATCACAAGTAAAAGGAGTTGTTGTGTATATAGTTAAGTTTACAATAATGTTACTTACTCAAGACGTACAACTCCAAATAAATATACACCATCTTGTTTACCAAACTGATAATCAACTAAACTAATGTTGACAAGAAGTTTCTCTATCTGCACTTGTAAGGTATATTCACAGGGATCCAGTTTTAGACTGGTACTGATAGATCTACGGAGCAGATCTACATCTGTACAACAGGTAACTCCAATGCAGTCATCAGACAAGTGACAGGTGGTGCCATTAGATACAGCTGGGAGATTTACTTTCTCTAAACAATCTGAAAAAAAATCAAAAGTCAAAATCAATAAACATGGTATACATTATATTTATAAAACAAACTATTCATATTCACTCTGTACGTTGGTCCCTTTGGAGAATGCAAGAAATAAAAAAAAATAATAATGATTACTCTTGTATGTGCTCTTTCAAAAACATTTGCAGAAGTTTTCAATAGAAGGAAATGTCAAATAATTTAGACAGTTTTAATAATACTTTTGAGCTCTGTAACTCATTGTTGATAACCTTAAAGAAACCACCAAGATGAAGAACATTCATATAAGAGTTGTTTCAATGAGATCAAATTTCCCAATATTTAATGAGATATTTGTCTCAGCTACATCCAACTTTCAACCTGTCTTTCTCATTTTTGTTTAAATCTGGGAAAGAATTTCACCATTCAATAGAAGAAATCATTTGTGAGTGTGTGAGCATAAAAATGTACAAATCTATCAGAATCCTTAAAAATAACATATGTAAGGACTTTAAATGTAGCTTTCTTGTAACAATATGTTAATACCAAAAAATCATAATTCTATTTTGCATCATTTAAATCATTGTTATAAAGGGGAAAAGATTATCATAGTTTTCTCTGATTTAAACAAACATTTTAATGCTGCTTTGAATAAAATTTACCATTATTCCATCCATCTTGGTTAGGTATATATGGGGTATCTGCTCTGTTACACTGGTTTTCCACATAGAATGAAGCTATTCCAAGTTTGTTTGACAGCTGTAATAATACTTCTGTTGGTATCTCAATTAGTGCTGGACTTAATCCTTTACTGGATAGAAAGTTTTTTAAAGAAAAGTCTGAAAATTATAATTCATAATAAGTAACATTTAAAGGGGCACTAGCTACGAGATATATAAAATTTTTTAAATATGATTTGTTTTGTTCAATCATTAATTAAAGTGAAAAAGTGAAATAATAATTCGCTTTTAACAGCCAGTATGGTACAATTTTGTCAAAATAAGCTAAGAAATATCGATGATGAATTATTCACTTGCAAGTGATAACATATATTGTTAACCTATAATATGAAATTAAACAGACCTATAAAAATCCAATTGCACGAGTTCTTTATCTATTTATATCTATAGTTATGTTTATATCGCTTATATGACCATCGACAGTCTTCGGAGTTAATTAGATGGCGTCTAGACTAAAATACACACGAAACGATGATACAAATTATCGAGCCCATGCCTTGCAAATTGTTTATTTTAGACTTTTCATAATTTGAATATACGTTTTAGTATGTTATAAATCAAATACGAGAATTTGAGTCAAATCGGTGAACATGAATTTGACAGCCAATGCCCCCTTAAAGCTGGCAATATTCTAAAAATAATTGCCAGGACTTTCCTAAGCCTGCTGCTTGGGCTAATAATATTTGCAAAGCAATCAATTTGTCTGTGACATCATATGTTTATAACTGTGATGAACAGAAATTAAAAGATGAAGTTTTATTTCTTTTAATTTTAATGATTACATTTTTCTTATATCTGTTTGGTGGATGAGTTTTAATCCTATAGAAACAAATTGTGCTACTCTTCTGGTCAATTGTTCCTTATTTCACAAAAGGTAGACTTCATAAAGATTAATTTCCTCTGATAAGACAGGTGTTGAACATGGCCAAATTTCATTTCAAAACAACTGTGAAGAACTGTGAGTGAACTCACAAAAGGGAACCCTAGTAACACAAATCTTATTTTCTCCCCTTTTTAAATCTGGATTAAATGTTGGACTGGGTTATAGTACTTAATGCATATCCTTCAGTAGGGTCTACAACTCGGTAAAGTTGCATCAATATGCATCAAGCTTCTTTGGAGTTGTGCTGACAAGGCAAATGGACAGACGTTTAGACAAAAAATCTGTTTGACTGTTATTTTCACAGTCCAAAGACCGTAACTTTGTCAAAAATCAGCAGAGTGAAACCAAACATAAACTCGATCTGTAACTCATCATAGTTGACTCACATACCATAAAATCAGCTCAATATGTGAAGGGGTTAAGAAAACAAGTCTGTATAACTGTTATTTTCACAGTCAAAAGTCTGTAATTTCCATAAAAATCAGCGGCGCGGAATAGAATGTAAACTCAATCTGTAACTCATCATAGTACACTCACAAACTAAAAATCAGCTCAATTAGTGAGTTTAGAAAAAAAGTCTGTATACTTGTTCATTGCAGAATGACGGAATGACGAAATGACATCAAAGGTAAAACTAAATGGCCCAATCACTAAGAGGCAAGGCCTTAAAAATTTTCAAAAGACAGGCTGGTTTCTATTCATATCCCCTAAGATAAAGAGATGGGGCCATAAATCTGATGTTTTGTCTTATTTTTCAACTATTTGTATTTGGACGATGTGTTACACTTAATGTTGCAATGATCACTGTTCTAATTAGAGGAAACCCAATACCTGGTATAATGAAGCCATTTTTCCAGTTACAGACTGGTTTAGGTAACCTGGCATCTTTGAGTACATTCAGAATTACTTCACATGGACCAGCTCTCTCCATACATACAGATATATCCATGGTTACCAGAAACTTCTCGTCAACAAGATTTTGAACTGTGAATCTGAAAGCATATCAATTCCATCTTCTTTTAATATGATATAAAAAGGAGTGTTATAAGTAGTAAAACTTTCAAATAAAAAGATATTTACAGATATTTGATACTACATGTATAGGACAAAAAATTTCAAAGTTACAATTTCAGGGTAGTTTCCCTTATTGCTTTATTTCTTGTCAGTTCAATATCCACATTAATTGTCTGACTTAGAGGTTGCACTTCTGTAAATATAGACATTTCAATTTCCCATAGGAACTGCTTTTACGGCTAAAACTGTATCACTTTTACTATGAAGTTTCGTAAAACATTATATCCTAGAATAGAAAGTTCATATTATGCCTTTCTATTTTTTCAAAGGTCAAAATATAGGGCTGTGCAGCATATTTTCAACATTTATATGCCCCAAACTTCTTCAGAGTTTAAACTTATACTCAAATTCTGTACTACACCTCCCTTCACTTTGGGTCTTCCTAAGAATTCAATTTTTCCGCTATTCATGTATATTTATACTGGTAACATTCCCAAGTTATGTCTCTATGAGATGAAACATAGAGATCATATCTGGGAACCAGTAGGTAAACATCATAAAATATCTATGAATATTATGTGTCTCCCCAAAATAGGTACGGTTTGTGAAAGAGCTGTATTTACAAGGTGCAACCTTTACTAGTTACATAGTTTTTCATCTGTAACTTAGCCAGTTTTACTTTGTAAATCCATTTTTCATTCACCATTTACCCTCAGACTTCACTTGCCACTTACCATATAACTTTACTAATTACTTGCCCTCACGGTTTAATGTAACTTACACAACATTAAAGAGTCCAAACAAAGAATATGTTTGTGTGTGTCCCCATTCGTAATCAATCAGTGAGTATTCCAGATGAACTTTCTCAATATCCACAGTCAGTTTATAATTACAAGTGTCTATGTCAACAGAAACATGAATATTTCTGTGTAATCCAGGCAGATTTACACAGCAGTCTATACTGGTACAAGTATGTGGTATATAACATACACCATAGGGTGAGAGGTCAATCTTGTCTTGAATGGAACAATCTGAAAAAAAAAATATTCAAAAAAAGCTTGAAAAGATTTTTCCAAAAAAATCTGCCCTACATCAGTAATTCTAAAGCATACAAAATCAATATCTTAACTTGTATGAAATGAAGAAGAGAGCACTGTTTATCAACCATTTTTTTATTACAAAGACATGACAGAAAGAAAAGCCTAGGAAAGATGGAGCAACCGTTTAAGTATAAATAATTACATCTAATTAAGGTTCCTGCTTTCTTATTATAATTTTGCCAGAGGTTTTATTCTACTTTTACAAATAAGCCATTTAATATAAAAATATGAAGAAAGAGCAAAACCCATACCATATAGTCAGCTATAAAATGCCCTGAAATTTACATTTCATAAATACATTTTTTCTACTAGTAATTATCTTCCCTATTTTTGATTTACAATCATTACTGCTAAAAGTAAATTATGATAATTCATCTTTAAGTCAAACACTTTACTGTAAAAAGATATGTATGGGGCATAAATATAATTCAATTAATGTTTCAATAAATGCAATTTTATATTCTAATAACTACACTTTGTAAAGTTGCAAGCACAAAAAAGTTTTCTCACTTGATACTCAGTGGATGATATCTGGTACTTGTGTATGCAAGCAAATTTGTTGTTAATAGTACTCAGTACAAAAAGTTCAAAATGAACTTTTGTTAATTACATATTAATTTATATACAGTTTAACAAATATCCTTTTTACAAATAAAATGACAATACAAAATACAAACCATCAGTCCATCCATTAACAGAAGTGTTATATGGTAGCTGTGTCATGTCACACTGTTCTGACAGTAGGTATTCAGATACACCTAAATAATCCATTAACTTTGACACAGAAAAACTGTCAAGGGTAGATAATCCACTATCAGACATAAATTTGGCTAGGGAGAAATCTACAAAAAAAATGAAGAGAACATTTACCAAATCAATAAAGTACATTCAAGAGTAGACATGCAGTAAGTTTCACCAATGTTAATGATAAATGGATGGGTTTATGGATGGTAGTTAATTGTTTAGTTGGTCTTCTATAAACCATGTTGAATATGAACTATACAATGAACTGTTTTTAAACACTGAAGTTTAAGTTAAGTTTTTTTTTCCCAGGAAGACAAGTTAACAAACCCAGACACATCATTCTTAATCCAAAACAACCTGTTGTTATTAATTATTATGAGCTTATTGTTTTTTTGCTTTGTATCAATCTGATGAGTTAAGTCCTTTTCAACTGATCTTTATAGTTTGTTCTTATGTTGTACGGTTACACCACTCTCCCAAGTTAGGGGGAGGGTTTGGCGCCAGCAAACTAGTTTAACCCTGCCACATTCTATATGTGCCTGTCCCAAGTCAGGAGTCTATAATTCAGTGGTTGTCGTTTGTTGCTGTATATTATATTTGTTTTTGGTTCATTGTTTTGTAACATAAATCAGTAATAAATTAGTTTTCTCGATTGAATTGTTTTACATTTGTCATTTTGGGACCTTTTATAGCTGACTATGAGGCATAGGTTTTGCTCATTGTTGAAGGCCGTACAGTGACATAATAGTTGTTAACTTATATGTCATTTGGTCTCTGGTGGAGAGTTGTCTCATCGACAATCATACCACATCCTCTTATTTCTATATAAGCTTATTAGCTGCAAATGGGTCAAGATCCCTAATGTGCCTTAAAGTGAGGAACTCAAAAGTAGTGTGTTAACAAAAAATCTCTGTGCAGTGATACTGGACATGTTTCAATTTTAAATTAAAGAACCTTAGTGAGCACGCTCACATACCCCACGTCCCAACATTGTCACTGGAGAAATAAAATAACTGTAAGAAAAACAAGAGTGCACACGCTGAAATGTCTCGCCTTCTTTACTAATCATTGATATTATGTTGATAGTCCTAAATATAAAGCTTTATTACAACTGTCACATAAACTTAACATTAACCAAGTAAACTAAACATTGACCAATGAACCATGAAAATGAGGTCAAGGTCAGATGAACCATGCTAGGCAGGCATGTACAGCTACCAATTCTTCCATACAACAAATATAATTGACCTATTGCTTATAGTTTAAGAAAAACAGACCAAAACACAAAAACTTAACACTGAGCAATGAACCTTGAAAATGAGGTCAAGGTCAAATAAAACCTGTGTGACTGCCAAATAGATCATAAAATATTTCCATACACCAAATATAGTTGAACTATTGCATATAGTATTAGAAAAAAGGACCAAAACTCAAAAAACTTAACTTTGACCACTGAACCATGAAAATGAGGTCAAGGTCAGATGACACCTGCCCGCTAGACATGTACACCTTACAATCATTCCATACACCAAATATAGTAGACCTATGGCATACAGTATAAGAAAAACAAACCAAAACACAAAAACTTAACTATAACCACTGAACCATGAAAATGAGGTCAAGGTCGGATGACACCTGCCAGTTGGACATGTACACCTTACAGTCCTTCCATACACCGAATATACTAGACCTATTGCTTATAGTATCTGAGATATGGACTTGACCACCAAAACTTAACATTGTTCACTGATCCATGAAATGAGGTCAAGGTCAAGTGAAAACTGTCTGACGGGCATGAGGACCTTGCAAGGTACGCACATACCAAATATAGTTGAACTATTGCATATAGTATTAGAAAAAAAGACCAAAACTCAAAAACTTAACTTTGACCACTGAACCATGAAAATGAGGTCAAGGTCAGATGACACCTGCCCGCTAGACATGTACACCTTACAATCATTCCATACACCAAATATAGTAGACCTATGGCATATAGTATAAGAAAAACAGACCAAAACACAAAAACTTAACTATAACCACTGAACCATGAAAATGAGGTCAAGGTCGGATGACACCTGCCAGTTGGACATGTACACCTTACAGTCCTTCCATACACCGAATATACTAGACCTATTGCTTATAGTATCTGAGATATGGACTTGACGACCAAAACTTAACCTTGTTCACTGATCCATGAAATGAGGTCGAGGTCAAGTGAAAACTGTCTGACGGGCATGAGGACCTTGCAAGGTACGCACATACCAAATATAGTTATCCTATTACTTATAATAAGAGAGAATCTAACATTACAAAAAATCTTAACTTTTTTTTCAAGTAGTCACTGAACCATGAAAATGAGGTCAAGGACATTGGACATGTGACTGACGGAAACTTCGTAACATGAGGCATCCATATACAAAGTATGAAGCATCCAGACCTTCCACCTTCTAAAATATAAAGCTTTTAAGAAGTTAGCTAACGCCGCCGCCGCCGTAGCCGCCGGATCACTATCCCTATGTCGAGCTTTCTGCGACAAAAGTCGCAGGCTCGACAAAAAATTGTATAAGAAAAAAAAATTGAATCATAATTTCCTATCGATATGCACATCTACATAGTATGTCCTTATTATCTACAAAGTTTCATGAAATTCTGTTGTGTGGTTTTAGAGGAGTTGCAATGACAAACTGTTGCAGAGGTATATTGAAGCAAATAAGTTCAAAGGGGCGTAACTCTTACAAAAAAAATTGAATCGTAATTTCCTGTCGATATGCACATCTACGTAGTATGTCCTTATTATCTGAAAAGGTTTCATGAAATTCTATTGTGTGGTTTGAGAGGAGTTGCGATGACAAAATGTTGCAGTAGTATATTGGGCAAATAAGTTCAATGGGGCGTAACTCCTGGAAAAAAAATTGAATCGTAATTTCCTGTCGATATGCACATCTACGTAGTATGTCCTTATTATCTACAAAGTTTCATGAAATTTTGTTGTGTGGTTTCAGAGGAGTTGAGATGACAAACTGTTGCAGTAGTACATTAAAGTAAATAAGTTCAAAGGGGCGTAACTCCTAGAAAAAAAATTGAATCATAATTTCCTGTCGATATGCACATCTACATAGTATTTCCTTATTATCTACAAAGTTTCATGAAATTCTGTTGTGTGGTTTCAGAGGAGTTGCGATGACAAACTGTTGCAGAGGATTATTGAAGCAAATAAGTTCAAAGGGGCATAACTCCTAGAAAAAAAATTGAATCATAATTTCCTGTCGATATGCACATCTACGTAGTATTTCCTTATTATCTACAAAGTTTCATGAAATTCTGTTGTGTGGTTTCAGAGGAGTTGCGATGACAAACTGTTGCAGAGGTTTATTGAAGCAAATAAGTTCAAAGGGGCGTAACTCCTAGAAAAAAAATTGAATCGTAATTTCCTGTCGATATGCACATCTACGTAGTATGTCCTTATTATCTACAAAGTTTCATGAAATTTTGTTGTGTGGTTTCAGAGGAGTTGAGATGACAAACTGTTGCAGTAGTACATTAAAGTAAATAAGTTCAAAGGGGCGTAACTCCTAGAAAAAAAATTAAATCGTAATTTCCTGTCGATATGCACAACTACATAGTATGTCCTTATTATCTAAAAAGGTTTCGTGAAATTCTGTTGTGTGGTTTGAGAGGAGTTGCGATGACAAGAAACAGGACTGACGGACTGACGGACGGACAGACGGACGGACAGATGGACGGGTCAAAAACATTATACCCTCCGCAACTCGTTGAGTGGGGTATAACAAGTGACTGAGTTTAACCATATGTGCTGGTTTGGAGAGCAGAAGACCATAGAATAAATGTGTAAACACTATGGAGTTATTAAATATATGCAAAGAACTAAATTTTCAAAGAACTTATTGTGTAAAAAAAGGGATTTTTTACATTGAGAAGCCACATCACAAAAGGCTTTTTGGGGTATGCTAAATTACAATAAAATTAATCTCACTTCGTACCCTGTAATTTAACCACATATGTGAAAATGTCTAAGCTTTAATGGGAAATGTCTCAGCTTCAAAGCAAGCCATCATACATATCCAAGTTTATGATTGGGCAGAGAAATTAAGGAAAAGGCTATCATTGCCGCCTACCTGAAATGAATTGTGCATCTTTACCCAAATATCTATTTCCTAATCTTTATTAGAATCGCCTGAGATTGAATATATGACCTCCAGCATTCAGAGCAAGGATATCATCAACAGATCATCAGGTCACCTGATGTGAATCAGCAGTTACATAAACAGTAATTCATAAATTTAAATCCATAAAATGTTACAGTATGTGCAAAACTGAATCATGGAAATTCATATAATACACATCTGACAACAATTTTGTAAATACTAAATAGATAACTTTTGAATTGGTGCACTTTCCCATAAATTGCATATGTCACAATGCTTAAGTTATTAATTCACAGCAAGAACTAATTATTCGATGAAGTCGATTATGCTGATTGACCCGGGTCAACCAGTGTAACTCATTTATAAAAAAAGAAGAATGTGTCCGAGGACACGAATGTCCCTGCTCAAGCTGTGCAATTTTCCAAATTAAAAAGGTGCATTTGAACTCTACAACAAAAAATGACTCACTGCCCAAATCTGAACTCTGACTGTGTGTTGTGGTTCTTAGCATTGTGCATGAGTTTCATGAAATTATCATGAGGCAAACTTAAGTTTAGAGTGTGGAAACCGAAAAATTTACAATTTTCCAAGTTATAATGGGACATAACTCTGCAACGGTAAGTGACTCACTGCCCAAATTCAAACTCCGTCTGCAAGTTTTGGTTCTGAGCTTCGTGTATGAGTTTCATCAAATTTGGTTGAGACAAACTTAAGTTAGAGTGTGAACTTAATGCCCCACAACGTGAGATTGGTGTATAGTTAACATAATAGGGAAAAAGCATATTTAATACTATCTACTACTTTTTTCTACTAGTAAAGTCTAGAAGAGATAATAACTTAATTCTCACCCTTAGTACATTCTACAGATTTAGTCACAAGTTCAGGTAAAGTTGTATTCAGTTCACTGTATTCTGTATTGATGAAATGATCTGGTTGATATGCTGTTGTATTGAGAAGATCTACATCAATGCCAGATCCTATCCCTACTGTTATAATTCTGACATTCTTACTGCTACATAAGGCTGCCTTATCTATGGCTTTGTTCCTGTCTGACTTTCCATCAGTTATTAATACAAGATAATTCTCAACATGGGTTCTCTCCCCTTTTGCCGTCTGAAACATTTCTTCACAAGCAAATTGGAATGCATCGGCAATATCTGTGGTAGTTCCCTTC